ATTCATAGCAAATGTTGTTACCTCCTCCGCTCCCTGCTGCCGCTGCTGTTGCGGCGTGGCGTCCTGGCGTCCTTGCCTCCTAGCTGTCTGGTTGCATGAAATGTACAAAATGTTTGGGCTTAAATAAATACAGAAACCTCAGTGAGAAAACCGAACCCGAAAAGCCCCAGCCGCAGTAACAATGCGTCGCTTGTCGCTATTGTTGCCAATGCTCCTGCAGCTTCCTCTCCTAAAAACCCATGCACTCTGAAAAATAGGCTACAGATTTTTTAAAATAGATTATATGAAGACTTATTAGAGAAACCTTTTCTTATTAAAGGAATGGAAAGGAATAAAAATGATTTAAATATATAAATTACCTATGGGAATAATTAAAAAAATATTTAAATAATAAAGCAAACTTTTCCTTAAGATATATATATTTCTTTTCCATTAAAATACACTTTTCTTACTACATAGCCTGTTTTTCTTAGTGCTCTTGTTACTCCTGCCACTTGTATCCCTTCCTCTTGTTTCTAGGTACGTGTGTGTTTAGCGTGGCGTAAAATAAATCATTTTGCTGCGGTAAACACACACTCTTACACTCTCACACACACACACACACACACACTCCATCCAACCTAAAGGAGTGAGGACAGAAGCTGAAGATTCTGCAGGCTGCATATAGAGATAGAAATGTTACGATAGAGAGTACAAATTGCCATGAGCAGCCATCTGCGAGCTCCACCATCTCCTGCTCCCCCCCTTTTTGCCTGGAGTTAAGCCCCAAAAAATTAGCTGAATGAATAAAAATGAGTCATTTGTACACGAAGGAATTTGAGGCGAATTAAGCAGTTGAAATCGCTGGAAAACTTCCTTTCCTGACAGGGGCAAAGATGTGTGTGATAAGCTCAGGCTTAGAGTAAAGCAGAGCATCCAAAATCTGGCTAATAAACGTGGCTGACAGCGCACAAGATTGTGTGGAAAATTAACAGACTTGAAATAAAATCGGGAAACCCTGGGAAAATACATAAGTAAACCTCCTATACCCTAAAGTACATACCCTAAATATACCCTTGCAGATTTAAATTCGATCACTAGGCATTAATACAATTTAGTTTATTTATTTATATTAAAAAACAATGAAGTAATGACTATATAATAATGACTATATAATATATTAGTCTAATTTTATAAAATTTTACACAAAATTCTAGATTAATATATAATATATATATCATATATTCTTACTGTTCATTGATACTTACTGATCATAGTTAAATTAAATATCAGCTCGCTGCTGCTCTCTGCCTCTCCCCCTCTCTCGCTATGTTAATCGCTCTATGTTAATCTCTAGAGGCAACAGCTTTTCTCTGCCTCTCCCTCTCTCGCTATGTTAATTGCTCTATGTTAATCTCTAGAGGCAACAGCTTCTCTCCCACGCACTCACACTCACATTCTCTTCTCTGCTCTGCTCTGCTTTTCTCTGCTCTGCTCGCGGACTATAAATAGAGGCGCTAAGATCGCGCGCGCCTCAGTCTGTCCTAGGGGTACCTAGTGTTAACATCTCAAGTGATAGTGCAAGTGATCACCTTTCGACCCCAAAAAAATGACGTGGCCAATGAAATACATCTGGATGACTAGGAAGAAACTCACTTTGGATGGAATCAGCATTATTGGTCACAACACTGGAAGGAATTAAACAATGACGTGTCCTTTACTGCGGTAAGTCTTACTCATGACAATTATATTATGTATGAAGAAGCTATTGGCTTTATATTCCAATTTATTTCCATATTGCTATGGTCCCCTTTACATACTTACTACTCATAGATACTTACTGATCAGAGTTACTTAATGTTTATTGATACTTACTGATCATTGTTACTTACTGTTCATAGATACTTACTGATCATAGTTAATTACTGGTCATAGTTACTTACTGATCATAGTTAATTATCGATTCTAACTATTCAGAGTTACTTAACGTTCATTGATACTTAATGATCATAGTTACTTACTGCTCATAGTTACTTACTGTTCTTAGTAACTTAATGTTGAAAGATACTAACTGATCCTCTACATTTAATAACCGTTTCTCTGGAAGTTATATTATATAGTATTCCGATTTTCCCAATAAAAAAAAAAATTCTATGAAATAAATGATAGATTGAAATCAAATTAGATACAAATGTGGTAGCTTCAAAACTGAGGAACTAGTTTGCGTAGAATCGGACAGACGGACATGGCAAGATCGACTCTTCTGTTGATGCTTATCAAGAATATATGTATATACTTTATATGATCGGAAATGACTCCTCCACTGCGTTATAAACTTCTGACTTGAAACAAAACAAATCAAATATTCAGGTTTATGAGTGTTCTATATTTTCGTGTACGGCTCATAAAAATAAAACTCATCTATTAGTCATTCAATTAAATTTCAATCAAATTAAATCAATTATATTTTCATGAATGTGTATTAAAGTGAAAATAAATTTCTCCAACCCAGCACAAATAAGCGCCAAAGCTAAGCCACAGAAACATACATCATTCCCCCTGACAAGCTGGCCACAGTTAAATAGTCTTTAAATTCAAATGCAATACAACAATAGATGAAACAAGAACATATTAAATTGTTAAATAATGTACAGCAAGTGCATGTGTTAATAAACATTAAATAAAAGGCTTAATTTTGAGAAAATCAACTGAAGAAAGTCAATTCAGAAAGTCAGAGACTGCAACTAAGTAATTAAACAATAGAGACAAGTATCAAGTAACTATAAATTCCTCAGCAGGCTTAAACATTACACAAAACCAATAGTAATAATGAACTTTAGACAAGTGCAGATATATACAAGTACATTAATATATATCTACAGAATTTAATTGCGAAGGAAATAAACACAAACAGAAATTGAGAGGCTGCTGCAGCTACTAATAGGGGGGACGAGGCGAAATTAAGTTTTTCACGGCAAATTTATTCATGGCTTTCTCTAATTAACTTTTACGCATTCCCTGGACTAGACTGAAAAGCGATATAAAACCCCGAAGGCCATGGTCCTGCTGCCCATGTGTACTCCTTACCTGTGGAATTGTGCGTAATTCAATTGCTCAGACCCCCAGAATCAACTGACCGGAAGCACTAAAACCTGACTGCCTGACTGCCGCTGCCTGCCTGCACAAATATAATTAAAATGCTCCAGCTCTTAGAGGGGAAAATTATATATAAATAAAGCAAGAAAAACAGAAATAAATAAGAGCAACACAAAGGTAAAACTTGTCATTTAATGTCCTCCATCAAAGTAAAAACGAAATCCAACAGAAATTGATGATGGGGAGTAGTAGCCTCCAGGAGAAAACTAAATTGAAGTCTTAAGTCTAAGGGAGAAAAATCTCACCAATTTGTTGCCTTAATTTAAAAACAAGTAGAACTCAACCCAATTTTTATTGGTTCACTTGCATCATGTTCTATTTCTGGCACTCCAAGACCCGATCCTTTCCCTTCGTTGTTGCAGTTTTGCTGTTGCCAATCTCAAATACACGAATGTTGTGTTATTTCCGTCAAAAGAGTAATTAAACGTACAAAGCCAACGACATTTCAACACATTTCAGAGACGCGCAGCAGGGAAGCCAGGCAGCAGACAACAACACCGAGGGGTTGCTCAAAAATTAATTAAAGAAATTGTGGCTTAAATGTAAAAATAGGAAAAGCCAATTATAACAAAAAACTGTCAAAGCCAGATTTTTATAACTATGAGATTTAATTTATTAATATTTAAATTAATTAATCAGTATTATAAAGGACGGGAAAAAGATATGGAGTTTAGAGTAAACTTGAATGAAATATGTATATTATGAAATTGTAAGAAAATAATAAAATGTGCATTGATTCTATTATATAAATAAATTATTTTAAAAGCTGCCTAAAAAATAATGTAAAACCTTTTACTTTGTTATAGAAATTTTAAATTGCTTGTGGAAAAGAGCTTCAGAGGAATCTAATTTAGGGAACCTGAAATTTGTTTATCCTTGAAATGAAAATCTATCATAACTAAGCCAAAAATGCATTAATTTGCAATCGGAAAACTTTCCTATGCTAGGTTTTATAAGGTTAACAAATCTGCCTACTCAATATAAAATTTCTAAAAGTTCAAATTTTTTTATATTTTTTTTTTTAAGTTTAACGATGTAAAAAAGGATGAAAAATTTTAAATTTTTTTTTTCTTCCAGACATGCCTAAATCGATTTGGCTGTTCATGCTGATCAAGAATATATGTATGTATATGATTTATATGGTATGATTCCTTTACTGCTTTCATGCTTTGACTCAAATGAGAATATCCTGAAAGGTTATAAAAAGTAACTACTGTTCTGTAGAGTTTTCATTCTTATTCCTTAACCATTTTATAGGTTTTCTTTATCTTTGTTTGAAACCTTTAATGAATTAGTTTTCTATTTAATTTGTTGAATCAAAACTCTTTGAGTTGCTCTCGTACTGCTGGCATTCAGGCATTTGTCCATTTCTCTCTTTGGCTTCTTAGGGCCCCGGCGGTCATTGCGGCTGAGTCCAGCTCCCCTCCCTCCCTCTCTGTGTGCCCTTCACACAGGCAAAAGACAGACCAAAGAGGTCCTGGAATTGGGGTTGTGTTGGGTTTAAGTTGAGGTCGGGCGGCCAGGAAGGAAGCCGAGTAGCGTTGTCAGTATAACCTGTGAGCAAAACATTGTAAATAAAATGCAGCAGGATTCCGGATGGCAGTGGTGCAAAAAGGATGGGGCAGCCGAGTCGAGTCCTGTGTCTGGCTTGCTGACCTGCGGCGCTTTTGTGTTAATTGCGGTTGCATTTAATTACAGTTCGTTGCAACTGGCCTGGTCCCTTCACCACCTCCCTTCATACTGCATATTTCCAAATGCCTTGCATTTCCCCCCTCAACCTAAAACCAAGCCAAGAATGTGTGTGCGCTAAGCTTTTAATTAAAATTAAAAATATTTGGTCTACTGTGGCAATTTGACTATTTAATATATAGGGCTAGTTTTTATTGCTTAATTAATGCAGAATTTATTGCGCAATTCGAAATTCGTTTTTTATTTGTACACTTCGATGATGTCCAGAATGCTCACATAGGTGCCCACAACACCACCAAAGACACCGAAACATAGAAGCAACACATTTATGATCAGTTTTATCCTAAATGGTCCATAGCCTTCCGTATATTGGACACAAATCTGAAGTAAGGCTGGAAATATGAGACCCAGTATAGAAAGGCAAAAGGATCCGACCAGGGAAAGGAACACCGAAAGATCAGGAATTGCTATAGCACAAGCAACTGGAAAAGTAAACAAAAATAGAAGTGTATTAATTAAAATTTCACTAGAGAAACTTAAGTTAAAATAACTTACAGGTAAGCAGCACAATCATGGCCCTGAAAAGCAGCTCAAACACTGTACGCCTTGATTCCCTGATATGCTTCGACAAGTACTTATCCCAAAGGATATGAGCAGTGACATATCCTTGCAAGGCATACGAAATCCAAGTAGTAATGGCAAAAAAGATCTTTACCACCTGTGCGGGTCTGAAACATTATTAAATAAATTAATAACAAGGCAAAAACGGATAAGAAAAAACTCACATTTCCGATTGGGGAATATTAAGGGTAACACTGCCCAAGGCTTCATCCCCGTATTTCCAATAACCAAAGAAACCCAGAAGTATGTAAAGGCCCAGGACTATGCCCATGCCAATATTCATGATACCACAAGGACGTACATAGGCCTTGGGTGTGGCCATGTTTTCCTCAATTGCCAGGATCTTATGTCATCAAAGAAAATAGTTATTCATAGATCAGGAAATATTATATACTAATTTACTTACCACACCCACTGCCTCCAAGGCAAAGAGTACGGTGCCAAAGAAGGTAGGCAGCTCTGTGATTGCCACAAAAGCTTTTCTTTCACTCAGCGGTGGCAAGTCTTCGAATATGTAATACAAAATGATACCAAAACCTAGAAGAAATCAAAGAAAATAAATTAACAAACATTATATAAAGAGATTAATAAACAAGCACTCACCCACAGCTAATAGTAAATTAGCTGCACTGGAAAACGGAGCCAATAATTGCAAATTTTTAATGCTGTATATTAACAGGAGAGGTACAATTATGATGCACATATGCAAACGGACATCCCAAACCACCAGATACTCATCCACCAGCTGCTTGATGCTTTCAGCTATGAAAACCACATAGACGCAACAGATGCCAAAGTGATAAAAGGCCAGAAAGCCATCCACAAAGGGTCTGGAGAACGAGAAGTAAATAAAGGTAAGTTAATAGGAAGGCATAACATTAAATATGATAATTTATAAATAAGTATTAAAGACTATACTTGCAATTTAGTAATATTTAAACCACACCTCAATTTACTTAAATATATTTAATTTTAAACAAATTTTCAGTCCAATAAAACTTCTATTTATTTCCCGCTTGATTCCACTCAAATTTAACCCACTTTTCTGAAAATACTTCAATCCCTATAGTATAAATTTAGTTGGCATTACAAAGCACTGACATTGCACTTGGCCACGTTTTGAACTAATTAAAATCTACTGATTATGACAAGATAAGAGTCATATAACCCAATAAATTCGTCATTAAAAAGCACTTTCAAAGATAATAATCAAAGCTGCGATTACAAATTTATAACAACATTCTGTAGATATTACCAAGTGTTATTGTGTTATTGTGTTATTTATTTACTTATATACTTACACGGCTATGGGGGCCAGGCAACGGAGCCAGGGAGGACCCTGTTTTAGGCCCAGTTTCATGGCATCGGAAAAGCTAACATATGGAACTCTCTGCCGCTTGCACAGAATATACATGCAGCTGATCTGTAAAAGAATAGATTAATATATATATCCCCAAAAACTCTAATAGGAAAACCCTACCAAAATATGCAAGCAATATAAAGCCAGGAGTCCAATGATCAGTGTAAGGATCGTTCCATTTACATAACCCGCATGGGAGAAGGCACTGGGCATGGCCAAGACCCCAGTGCCTATGGAAGCCTTTAAGAAATGGGCAAAGGTCTGCCAGTTTCTAAAAGAGCAAATAAAACATGGAAAATATTCCACAAATCCTTGGTTATTATTTAATATAACAAAATATTTACTTACGTTGTGGGTTTCTTGACATCGCGGTGCTGATGGGGATCATAATCATCATCTTTACTGCCATTCGCTGGCTTTGTGGGGGTCGTTAATTCCGATTCGGTTGTTGGGTAAACCGTCACAGTTTTTATATCGGCGCTATCAAGAAAACAATTACAACTTGTTTGTGAAACGAATTGATTGATTGATAAAAACGGTTCGGGATCATATAATAAAAAATAAAACCAATTAGCCCCCAAAGGTGGTTGAGGTTGCTCCAAAGCACACACATTTTTCCCCCAAAAAGGTTAAAAGTCGTAAAGAACATATATACAATTGTTTAATCGGGATTTACTTGGGAGCATCATGTTTTGTCATTCGTTAGCTAATTTTTTTTTACAATCCCAAAACCAGAAGAACACGAAGACGACTCACTTCATGGCGGCGATAAAGTAGCGAGCTGAGTATTTGATAAAGCTACTTAAGCTCTCAAGGTATATAAATCTTTTATCATACGCAATTAAACCGCACCGGAGACAAGATATTATTTGCGACTGCGAATGGGGGAGTTCCTTGGTGGAACCACAATTCAGGAGTGGGAGGGATCTGAACCGAATGCCTGGCCCAACGGACGGATACTAAATTTGGGATCCCAGTCGAAGCCGCTCAACACCTCTCATTCCCGTAAACTGATAATCTTATAAAGATAATTGTACGATAATCAGACGCCGTAGTCTAGAGCGGAACTCGGCGTAGCGAAATATATATTTCAGAAAATATATATATATATATATATATATATATATATATTAAATTGTGTGCATTTCATATTATAAACAAAGACAGCGGCAACAAAAGTTAACCAAATTAAACACAAATAAACCCCTTAACCAGTTTTGGCGATCGCATTTGAACCTCCCAAAAGTTCAATAATCAAAAATTTAACAAATTATTTACTTTTTATAGGAAAAGCTAAATTCCAACCAGAACCAAGAAAAGTGGAACTTAGCTGAGTTATACACTTTAGGCTAAGGAAAGCTAATGGCTGAAAGCTCAAGCACAGTGTTAAAAATTGTTTATTTTCATGTAAAAAAACAGGAAAGCTTTATTTTAATCAAACAAAGAAATAGTAAAAAATTATAGAAAATATAAAATATCACACAAACTTTATTATTTTCTTTATAATATTAATATTAACAAGTTCTTTCTAGTAATAGTTTATTATTACTGCCGCCAAGAAACCTTTAAATCTATCAAAGTTTACATTTATTATTGCTCAAAAATATTTTATAATAATAGTAGTATATTTATATTTTATTCAAACAATAATTTCAATTCATGTATAATATTTCATATCAATTTTACAGTTTTAGAGCCAATAACAATGAAAATGAAAAATTTCGGAATTTATTCAAGAATTTAAAATCAAATTCCGAATCATCTTGGTATTTTTTTTTGTATTCATATCGTATGGTATTTTTCGTATTTGTTTAATATTTCTGTTAGTGTTTAAAAAAAGCTTTCTGTTTATTTTTACGGCCATACTGCTCGCAACGCGCTCTCCCAACCGATTCGTCAGTTGTTCGGTGTGCGTGTGTGGAAAAAGTTGGATCCCGGAGAGGAAACGCGAATTTAGAAATTGATATCTTGAGAAACAGCAACAACACTCCGTCAAGTGTCTATGCAAATTTAATTGCGGTTCTCCTAAATCGGTTGGGAAGTCAACAACAGGTCGTTGCTGCTGTTGGAATCAAAATAAAAACACACAGAGACAATCGGCAAATGAAACGCAAACAACAAAGGCAGCAGAAAAACCGACTAACCGGTTTCAAAATTTCCACCGTTGTCACATAGTTTTCCCCATCCATATATATTTATTTATTTAAATTATAGTGGATCAAAGTATTTGGTGCCTCTTAGCCCCCATTCGCACATATCTAGTCACTAGATATATGTCGATTGTGTGAGTTCTCTTTGTTTGTGGTAATTAATTTCGGTGCAGAAGGAAGTAAAACAAATAAAAAAACCGAAGCCAGACATAACTGTGAACGAAAATCCAACCAGACAGCCAGACAGCCATGGGTTATTCCATAAAGGTAAGTGGCCAAAATGTTAGCGGCTAACACAGAGGGAGAGAGAGAGGGCCAACAGTGCGTATGTGTGTTATTTGCCGGAGTCTGCATCTCAGGCATTGCCGATCCGCTGTAAACCCGTTTTCGTACTTTTACTTGCCAAAATTCGAAGAAAAACAGAAATAGAAAGACGGGATCAGTGGGTTTTTTGTCGGTTCTTTTCGTCTGTCTGGGCCATATTAAGGTAACCATAAAATGCCGGACAGGTAGCAATCTCAGTTAATTACAGTCGAGTGCTCTGCTGCACTAAGCCAACTGTGACTGAGGGGGACTAGACTAAGCCAAAACAAATTCAGTCAAATCCAAATTTATAAAAAAATAAATATATAGTATCCGATTATCTAGTCACATTGATTAGCTGAGTGGTGACCTTGTTTTATTTACGTTTTTTTTTCTCCCTAACGCTTATCTGCCATTACAGTCTTTTGTCCATTGGTTAGAAAAAAAGGGGTAAACATTGGTGACATTAGGAAAGCATTTCCATAATTGACGTCATTGAAAGGTTTTCTTAAATAAAGAAATTACACTGGAAGAGAAAGAAAATATTACAAAATTGGTTTATTAATTCTGATTTCATAGATCATTTAGTTCCAAAGAGAACTTATAAAGAAAATAATGTATATACGATATACTATATATAAAATAAGCAAACATTTTCAATTAATTTACATCTTTTGTATGAAAGGAATTTCTTTATTTAAATTTAAATTTCTTATCGAAATCAGCCCTTGGTGTCTGGATCAAATAGGGTTTTACTTATCACGTTTTGGTGTATTACAAAAGCTAATTTCATTTCAACAATTCCTTATCTTGTTATATACGGAAGCAATTTCAAAAAAGAAATAATATATAGAAAAATGGGTAATCAAATCGAGATACAACAAAAAAGGTTAATTTTAATTATCAAAGCCCCCACTTGAAACTGGTGTTTACTTTTATTTCTTGCTGTATAAACCTCATATGGCCAACCAGAAGATGTATAGATGTGTATACCTGAAAGTGAGTACTTAGTGGCAGGTATTCCGAAGTCAAAAGGGGGTACCTGATACTCATTAAAAGCCTTCTATCTATATTTCAATTGTGTTTTCTTACAGTAGTCGTTAAATTTTTGAATATTTACTGCGTGTTTGTTTAAGCGCAGTTTATATTTATCCCCAAATTTCCTATAACAAAGATCACTAACTAATTTTGTAATATGACATTTGCATTCATATATCATATCTATTATAATAATCAAGGCCAAAGAAATATTAAGCAAGTTTGGCTACTTAAAAAATCTAGCACTTTGGGTCTTAAAAAATTCCCTTAAAATCTTAACGAATGTATACTAGGTATTTCTTTATTTGTTATTTCTAGTTTTTATAATCTGTACCTTATAATTAATGCATTAGTCACCGCAAAAAGGTTCCATTAAGATTGAACAATAGAATTGCATACAGTTCAAGTATTTCTTTATTTCTATTCTATGTAAATGGTGTCTTTATATTTATTGAACTTAAAACATACACAAATCTTGGAATATATCTTATTTTTTTCTTATTAATAGCCAATTTTAGAAGACAAATCGATCGCAAATTTGATTAAATACCTTGTCAATTTTGATTCCATCAGAATAACTTACTTTAGCACTTATCGCGTGTGCTGGGACTCGACAATTTCTCCAAGGGTCTGTTTTTTTTACGATATGTATTCCGATCAAATCACATTTGACACGCAAACCGGTCAGCCTGAATGCCAATGCTTATGCAACTCAAGCTCAAATGTGATTATTGCCACAAAAGTCAGTGCAAAAAAAGGAAAACGTCAGTGCCAAGTAATTGCATGTGCAATTTACAATTTTCTGCCGCGTCCATAAGTCTTAATTATACGTTAATAGGCGTAGCGGCTGTCGCAGATAAGTCACCCCCACCCGGCCAATCCCATATAAATATATAGTAATGATAAGCGCCGTCTGTCGATCAGCCTGGCACCATATCCCCTCTGATTTCCAGCCGACGCTGATAAGTAGTTCGGGCTTGTTCGCTTTCGATTTGAAAGGGAAGGTTCTACTCCCTAGTTAGTACCGAAGAAGCCATGCAGGTGGTAAGAAGACAGGTGCTAATAGCTCTGCAGTCTGGAGTCCACACTTGCAGACTGAATATATCTCAGGTGTCGCTTAGGTGATTCATTGAGGGCATATATATATGTATATATACGCCTTGGGTTATGGTACGGTTCGGTCGCCAGATCTTATCAGAGGATCGCGTACGTGAATCTATTTTCGGGATACACAAAAACATTTCCACTGGCGCGTTTGCTTTTATTATTGTTGGCCGCCGATAGCGTTTAATAAACAACTTTGGCGACGGCAAAGAGAAATCTTGCAGAGAGTTATTAATACTCTTTAAAAACATTTAAAGCTCGCTCTTTAAAATCTATTTTAAGAACATAGTTTATCCCAAGTATAGGTGACTTTCGTGTGTGTGTGTTTGCTTCCCGAAATCTGACTTGCAAATTTGTACCACATTTTAAGCCCATAAATTATGTCCAAAAAAGCGGCGATCATGATCACGCCACCGAAGAATGGCACCTGCTTCTCTTTGATCACTCTCTTAGTCCCGCTCTTAATCACACTCTAATCGCTCCCCTTATCTGTTCCGATCCGATCTCCTCCAGAACTGCGAAACCGGTGAGGTGGAGTACTTCTATACGGACACCACCCGGGTGAAGAGACTTGCCTACGATGAGGAAACCGGTGAACCCGTCCACGATCAGATGAAGGTGCGCTATAAGAAGCATGGCAATTTCCATGTGCCCAAGCACTTTCTCCGGGGAACCCTCTGCGACGAAGTGGACGATGTGCTGGCCAATACGGTGAGACATGGAGCCGCCACCGATATTCCCCAAAAGGCGCCCAGGAAGGCGACGCCTGGCTATGAGCGGGAGGATTATTGCCAAATGGATGGCGTGAGTAGTGTAAGTTATATCAAAAGAATCCTAGTGTTACTTAAGAAAAGATTCAGTTGTCACAATGATAATTGTTGTAAGATGTTAATTAAATGCTTAAAATAAAATACTTATCAATTTTCTCTATATAGAACATCATTCTGGGTTACAAACGGAACGAGTACTTGCTGTTCCTGGTGCCCACGCTGTTCTGCTACAACTTCTTTATAGGCGCCCTGCTGGCCGTCATTGAGATCTTCCTGCACATGATGTCGCACCACAAGAACAGCCTGACCATGCAGAAGGGACTCTATTTCCGCAGTCCCCTCCATGTCCTCTCCTCGCAGTTCTGCGCCGTCTGCCGCACCGAGAGCGACAGCAAGTACAATCGCATCTTCGACATCCTGAACAAGCAGATGCGTGCCTCCCATCGTTCGGGAGCTCTAAAGGACATGGCCAAGGCCATCGGTTAACGGGAAAGGTATGGGTTACACTTGGCTTCGACACGATCTATATATGTATATATATATTCACATATATATTTTGAAACAACAGAAACGTTTTTTGTCACACGATCAACAAAAAAAATAAATGCACTCGTTTATCACTCAAAGTGGAGGTATTGCAGCTTCTCTGGCGATATCTGTTACCGGATTTCTCAAACTGGGATCTGACCCATCGTCTTCACATTGGGCGATACCGCGAACTTGGCTCCAGTGCAGGCAATGATGTCGTCCACGGTCAAGCCCTCGGCGACCTCGATAAGGGTAAGGCCCACGCCCTTTTCCACCTCGAAAACGGCCTTCTCGGAGATGATCAGATCGATAACACCCTTGCCAGTGAGTGGCAGGGAGCAGGTGTCCAGGATCTTGGGGGAGCCATCGCGAGCATTGTGTTCCATGGTGATGATCACCTTGGTGCCAGGAGCAGCAACCAAATCCATGGCGCCACCCATGCCCTTAACCAGTTTGCCCTAAAGGAGAGATGCAAAATTAGGATAATATTTCCTAGGAACCCAAAGTGAATTCGATGACTTACAGGAATCATCCAGTTGGCTAAATCTCCAGTGGCCGACACCTCCATGGCACCCAGAATGGTAATATCCACATGTCCACCACGAATCATGGCGAAGCTGTCGTCGGAACCGAAGTAGGATGCTCCAGGCACCACAGTAACGCTCTCCTTGCCGGCATTAATCAAGTCCGGGTCTACTTTATCCTTTGTGGGGAAGGGACCCAAGCCCAGGATACCATTCTCCGACTGCAGCAGCACGTTCATGCCCTTGGGAATGTAGTTGGAGGACAGGACGGGAATGCCAATACCCAGATTAGCGTACATGCCGTCACGGAACTCCAGGGCCACTCGTCGGGCAATTCTTTCACGCAGTTCCTGAGCAGGATTTGGTGGCGGGGCGGGTTTGCTCGGATCCTTGGGCTCCGTGATCCTTACACGCTCAACACGCTTGTTATAATCAGTGCCCTTGAAGATGCGCTTCACGTAGATACCAGGAACATGGATCTCATCGGGACTGAGGCTTCCAACGGGCACCAGTTCCTCCACTTCAGCCACAGTAATCTTAGCTGCACGGCACATGGGTGCATTGAAATTTCTAGCTGCCTTGTTGAACACCAGATTGCCCAGGGCATCGGCTTTCTGGGCCTTGACAAAAGCAAAATCGGCGAAAATTGACTCTTCCATCACATAGTTCTTGCCATTGAACTCCTTCACTGGTTTCTTTTCGCTGGCAATCTCAACCTTGCCATCCTTTGTGTATTTAACGGGTGCACCACCCTCCTGGACCAAGGTGGCATAACCAGTGGGCGTGTAGAAGGCGGGAATGCCGGCACCACCGGCGCGGATCTTCTCCGCCAGAGTTCCTTGTGGAGTCAATTCCACGGCAAGTTCTCCGGCCAAATATTGACGCACCAGCTCGTTGTTCTCACCCACATAGGAGCCAATCACCTTGGACAGTTGCTTGCCCTTGATCAGCACACCCAGGCCGGTGTTGTCGACACCTGGTAAAAGTGTAGGAAGTTATTAACAAACGCCATATCATGAACAAATCATCTTAAATGAGGTCCGATATCCTTCCGTCAGTGAATAAATCCTTCTCGACTCGTCTCGACTCTGTTGTTCCAACTCACCTCCATTATTGGAGACTCCGGTAATATTCTTGACTCCCTTCTCCTTCAGAGCATTGATCATCTTCTCCGGAATACCGCAAATGCCGAATCCTCCGAACAGAATCTTGGCACCATCCTGGACATCGGCCACAGCATCCGCAGCGTTCTCGTAGATCTTGTCATTTCGCTGTTTTCCCGACGTGGAGTACGAGGAGCACGCAATAAGCTGGAAAGATCAGATCGCATGGAACTATTAGCATAAAAAGCTGTTTGCCTACGGATTCAAGGGGGTTCGCTGCCACTGTATAGGTGAGCGAGCGGGCGTGTGCGTGTGGGGCTTGTTTGTGCAAAAACGTTACGTAAGTGGCGACTATTTATAAGTCGAATAGTGGACTACTCCAGATCAGGGGGGAGCGGCTCGAGTGGGCTGATCGCGTGGTTTCAACGAAAATAATGCTTATCACAATTGGCAGCAATCACTAAATCAAAACAATTCACACACACACAGATGTTGTAGTGTGTATTATTTACACTCAAAACTGTTTGTTCTATTTCTGTTACTTGGCATTCAAATCGCACCTGTTGTTATGATGACTGGAAAACCAGTTTATCATTCTTTGTTCACATGGTAATTAATTAAAAGGGTAATTAAGATAGCAAAGTGATAAATGCTTTGACTTTAATCCAGTACATCTATTTCTGGCAGAACTGTACAATTATTTGGTTTATATTCACCTTTAATGAGGCCGAATATCGGGCGCTTAAATGGCCATTTCCAACCAAGCGACAGAGCATTTTGAACTTATAACTTTAAATGTACTTAAAATTATAAAAAACGGATTAAAACTAAGGTAAACTGTCCGCGAAATCAACAGAAATAAGAATGAAAAGCTTTTAACAGCTGGAGAGCGCAACAGGTATACGTGAACTAGTTGTTTTGGAACCAGTTCGATATCAGCATATGGATATTTAATAATTAGTTGTTTATATATCTGCAGAGAAAATGTAAATATTACTACAGCTTTAAAACCAACTGTTTTATTTTTGAAGGAGTGTTTTTGGTAAAATAACTATTTTTGATTCTATAAAATAAACCTAAATGACTAAGTTTCAACATGACTATCCTTTAAATAATTCAAGTATTTTAAATAAAATAAAACAAAAATATTTAATAAATCAAAAGTATTTTAATTTGAGCTTTAAATTCTGCTCCAATAGTAATCGATTATCAGTTCCGATTGTAATCGATTACCAGTGTGACCGCATGCCGAGGCCTGAAATCGACACAAAAACAACAGCTGATGGCAGCAATAACAAAAGCAGCTTGCAATTTGTTTATTTTTATTTCGCTAAACAATACAAGTGACGGCGCGCAGTACAAACACTATCGCAACCGCACCACAAGCACACACACACCCACACGGAGGGGAATAACAAGAAACTGTTGAAAATTTAACGAAATAACGACACAAAAACCAGTGGCTAAAAAGCAACGAAAATGGAAATTGAAAAAATGGCGTATTAAAATTAGTTGCTTTTGCCTGCAGCAACAAAAAAACGGTACTTTGCGGTGAGCTAATGGAATTGTATTTAATTTATGCGTTGTTTTCCCACCCAAATACTATATATGAGATGAATAATTCGGTACTACGACGCAGTTGGGAAATAGGAGTTCTTGTGGTACAACAAATAAGCTCTGCCCTCAACACCGCTGATAAGGATTTCGATGCTCGGGTGGTCAATGGTCGAGATGCTTCAGAAGACGACGGACGGCTCTTCTGGATCGGATTTGTCTATAGTTTGTGTATTTGCCGCTTATCGCGGATTCACTGGCCGTTACAGACACGCATCACCGCCAGCTGTTTACGCGGCCACCGATCCACCTCTGGCACCTCTCTCCATGAGCAACTATCATTACCGGCTTGGCAACCAAGCCAGAGCTTCGAACGTATGCAATGCCAGCACTAGCGTTGGACGCTATTAATAGCAATCTTAATAGTTTTCCCGCAACAACAACTAAAGTTTCCACTCCACACAGACCGAATTATCAACATCACCGGCTTAATCTTCGGCTTCTGCTTGCTCTTACTGCTCCTCATACTTCTCCTCCTACGCCTGTTACTCCACCTCCTCAGCATCTCATTTCCTCACGTAATCTCACGCACAAAAGAGATACAGTGAAGCTTCTGTAAAATAATAATTTAATGAGATCTTAAGTTTTCAAGAAAATGAACTTAAATTCTGGACCCAAACTTAATTTTAGTAGGAAAGAAAACAACCACATCGAATTTCAAAGTCAGAGCTTTATCCTTAGAAAATTTCTTCCCTTCTAGTTAATTCCCTATTTAGATACTTATATTCTTATTGAAACAAGGAAAGACCGCTTAATATTTTACGATATTTTATTATTATTTTTTGGTATGTCATGTTTTTAATAATCTATACAATATTACTAATATAAACTCCCTCTATACATATTAAAACACCTATCTATTGTCAGACTGCTGCTTGGTGTGTTTAATGAACTTTAACTGTATTTACTAAATAAGGTTTTTTTACTTGTAATTACAGCTGGCGTTCTCCTTCGATCGCCATCGCCGCTTTCAGTTTGGTCTCATCGCTCCGAGCGTCCAGAACGTAACCACTATTGCCCGATGCTTGAGGAGTTGCTGGTTAGCCGGAGCAGCATCTTCGCGTCGGCACGTACGTGTCCGTCTCCGCCATTATCTGTGATTTTCCATGGCCGGGATGGAGGTGAAGGTGGAGGAACAGAAGCAGCAGCTGCTACTGGATACCCTGAACCAACTGTGGACCCAATATCTCCAGGCCTCGGAGCAAGAAGATACAAGTGTCAAGGTTTGTGTAAATCTCCTTTGTCCCCATTGATAGTCTTCGGTCTTATCGTTGTTTTGGCTTGTTACTTTTCTTTTTTCCATTCACAGGACCACTGGCTCTGGCTGTTATTGTATAATTTCCAGTTTCTGGACGATGTGGCTCTGGAAGATGCATGGCTTAATAGGTATGGTTTAACTTGTAGATAAAAAATTAGAAAAGAGATTAGATTATGCCTGGTTTTCTTTTGCTTTCGCCTTTTCCCAGCCACTTCAACCTGCTGCCTGAGGAGCTCTGCTCTTATTTATTGGAACAGGTCTACCAAATCATTAGCGAGGCGAAGCGATCTCAGAGCAGCAGTCCGGAGCAGGAACCAGAGCAACAGGACAAGTGCATCAAGCAGCTGCGTAAGCAACATAATCTAGCTCAGGTGGGTCGGAGTATCTGCTCATCCTTGAACTCTTCTAAGATTATCTCTCTAATCACATTTCAGCTCATACTCAGCACCCCAAGTGATTGCAACAAGATTCTCGCCCTGCGCACATTTCTCACCGACAAGTTGGGCCATCACTTGCTGGCCTTTCTGCTGCGAGTGGATATCAAGGTAAGCCTTAATTATTTCCCTATCTCTTTATTCCTATTTCCTTATTTGCTTCTTATCTCTCTCATCATAGCACATTGCCTCCCAAAAGAGCCTCTGCCAGCTGTGTATCAATCTGTTCCCGAACTGCAAGTGGAGCCCCGCCAATCAACCACTAGCTCCACTGACCAGCATTTCCCAGTTCATCAACAGCTTCTACCTTGCATGCCAAAGCAAAAAGCCACGACGACAGCAGCAGCAGCATCAAAAAAGTCAATTGACCAGCCAAAAGATCAATTTAATCATCGAGAATTTTGAGGATTTTAAAAAGACAACGAAAAGCAGCGATGATCTGGCCCTGTTGCTTATCCAACTGCTAACGCGGTGTGTGGATGCCGAACAGGAGTGCCAGCTAAGTGTCACTGTACACAATTTCGCACTAGGACACTTGTGCGCCAGCTTGGAACAAGAGGAGGAACCAGACAACGATGAGATCATAAAATTTGAGTTGCTTCAACTCATTGCCCACTGTGTGAATAACTTTTACATCCTGGAGCAGCAACAGCCAAATGTCCATGACTTTAATAGCAATTTCGGGCAACTCCTCTACGCACTGACCGCCAATCGGAGGAGTCCTTTGCTCTCCCATGGTGTGCTCTACATAATGTTTGGCTCTCTACACAATCTGGTGGATAATGGGGTGCGGGAGCTCAGCCAGATCGATGTACGAAACTTTGATGCCTGCTTCGAAGTCTTGCAGGAGGCAACCAAGTCCATCTCGACTTCTATTTTATTCCTGCACATATATAAGCTGCTGTTGCGACTGACAGACAACCTGTCGCGACAGGAACAGCATCTGCAGAGTCTGATGGAAAGCAGCACTTCGACCACATTGCCCAAGCAACAACATACCCGCCACAAAAGGCAGAGAAGCAGTCAATTGCATTGCCTGGGAGCCGGTTCCCTGAGCTGCTATTTCCAGGGCAAACTCTACCAACTGCTGCCCAGCCTGGAGGCCGAGTTGCAAGAGCACAGTGTACGGAGTCTGCTCCGCACCGGAAGCTGTTGCTGTCACTACAATGCGAGGAACTTTGCCACCTGTCTGCAGCTCGCCACTCAGCTATCATCGAGCAGTTACCAAAAGTGTGCCTATAAATTTCTCCACTATAATGTTTTGCATACAATCTTTGTGAAGCGAGCTCCTCAAGGTTGTCCCAGTTGCGAAGAGAAGCTCAAGTCGCCTGGCTTTCACCTGGATCTGCTGAGTATCTACAAGGAGAACTACAAGCCGCTGCTAAACACACCCGCTATGCTTCTATTTTTGAAGCATTTAAAACACATTGCGTACTTGCTTTCCTATGACTTGGCCGCTGGCATTCTGGCCGAGGTGGCTTTGCCCATATTCCGCCAACACAAGGAGCTGATTGAGAGCAGGGACAATCCAAGGCGGAACAGCAAACTCTCGCCCCTGCAGTTACCTAGCAAATTGGATAATTATCGTGCTCTCCACGAATGCTTGAGCATATTTGTGATGTACTTGAGCGACATTCGATTGGTGAAAGCCTTCTACAACGAGGAGAATATTCGCTACATGCAGGATCTACTGGTCATACCCGAACTGCAGCGTGGAGTATGTGATCTCATCAAGGTGGGCATTGATAACATCGCCTTTCTTGGCGAAAACAGCCAGGAACAGATAACGCTGAGCAGACGACTCATCCAACTGCAGCTGAATAGCAGCGATAAAGCATCGCAGCTATTCCAGGCCTTGCTGCTCAAGTGTGCCAAGAATTCGCGTAGCAAATTCTGGCTAGACGAGGTTTGTCCCTCAAATTCACTCAAGCTCGAAGGACACAAGCCAGCGGACATACTCTACATAACGGCCTTGCAATGGACCCTGAACTTCGAGCTGCTCAAGACCAGCCAGTTGTTCTACAACGAGTTTGCCAAAATCTACTCGATACCCGTGGAAATGTTGGACAACGAGGACGAGGAGGTGGAATCACCAGCGGGAGACCGTGAGCTTCCGGAGGAGAAGAAGCTGCGGCATGGGGATAAAAACATCATTGACATACTCAAGCTCAACTACAATGCTCTGGGATGTTTCCTCATGCTACCCAAAGCCGCAATGGGAGCAACCACAACCACAACATCCACCATAACCACGCCCACCGCAGCTGCCGCCGGCATTTGCAACTCAAGTTCATTGGAAACGCTGGTCTCTCAGCTGCCACTCGGCGGTGCCACCTCAGTTTCAGTCTCGGTCACAACGGCTGCCAGTTCAGACTATGCGGATTCCTCTCTAGACTACGCCTCGGTAATTGATAGTTACTCTCGGGATACAGCCGCACCCTCGTTCCTGGAGCATCTCCGTGCCAGTGAGCCGGACGAGAGTATAGTGCTCTTTGACATCCGTGGCAGCAGTCAGCAACCAACAGATAGCACGAAGGACTCTACCACATCATCTCTGATCCTGCCAAACGAAGAGGAAGTGGCTGCTGCCGATGGCCTAATCAACAAGCTCTTCAACATTGTGGGCTCCATATTCGGTGGCAGCGGCAGTCCGGGAAGAAACTCCCCCACAAGTGATAATATTGAAGCGGATTTGCTGTGCCTATACGAACCAAACGGGGAATGCAAGAAACTCTTGCTCAAACTCTTCGAGGCAACCATGGCCATATGCATCAAAGGGTTCCAAAACGAGGAAGGTAAGTGTCAGAGAGATTGTTCGGTTGGCTACCTCGAAAAATATAATAATGAAGCGAGGGTATTACGAATAGCTGGAGGGTTACACTTCTTATTTTTTTAAATTATTTATTTATTTAAATACAAAGTTATTGACTTTTAGTTTGAAATTAAAATATGTCAGCGTAACTATTATGTTTCTCAGCCCAACAGTCTTTTTAAAGAGTGCTTTTTACCTATAATTAACCATTTATTTCGGAACGAGACTCCTTAGATAGGGCATTCCCAAACCCACCATAGGTTTTCCTTGTCCAACCTCTCATCTGGTTGGTTCCCCTGGCATTCCGCGGCTAATGCGTTACCAATACAAAAAACAATCGACGAGCACTCGGCTCGGTTGGAAGCCCTAGAAATAAGGCCCTGGTTGGGGAGAAGCAAGAACAAGGCACCCACAGTCATCATTCCACAATCCAGCTCTTGATTCTAGACTCTCGGCTAGAGCTAAAGCTCTGTGTCTCCGGCTAATAACGGGTCGTTGTGGTTGTGATTGTGGCTGCGGACTAGGAGAGTTAATTATAAGCCAGCCAGCTAGCTAGTTAGACAGTTAGTCAGTCGGTCGAGTATAATGCGCGGCATTTACAAGGCTCTGTGTGCTGTGCTGGGATTGAATTTCTATGTGTACACACGTTACAACATCGCAGATATACAGAGACAAAGAGAGAGATACAGAGATACGGATACAGATACAGCTACAGCTACACAAGGAAGAGGCACAGAAACGAGATATACATTCCAGACCAGACACTTTTGCTTTGGCGCTCGTCCAGCGCTGACGACTCGCTCCAGTTAGGCAGCCAGGAGAGATAGGTTATCAGTAAGCATCAACATCACCATCATCATTATCATCACATCGCGACGTTAATCTCTGTTTCTCGTTTCAGTGGAGAAGATGCAAAAGCACCTGCGCAAGCTTCGCGCTATTATTCTGACCCATGCTTCGGATAATTGGTCGGAGCACGGGGAGCAGCATGCCCGAGACAATGCAGTGATCCAGACCCTACAGACCCTGCTAAAGATAGCCGAGCTGTCGAGCAGCCAGCATCAGGAACACCCAGCGGGCGTGGTCAGCAGTCCATCGGGAGACTCGCAACAACCACGACCACGTGCTCGATCCTTTAACAGCGGCAGCGTGGAGTTGCCTCGATTGTTGCAGCCGGTTAAGCTACCGGCAAAGAACTCCCTAGCCACACCACCAACCCCCAGAAGGAGACCCAACTCCAGTGAGATTAATGCTGGTGGCGTTGATGCGGATTATTTTTCTACCAGGGCATCCTTGAGTTGTGCAGCCGACAGCGAACTGGAGCTGAGCGAAAATGAACACGAGTTTTACCTCACGGCCGACGAGGGTTACGAGGCGGATGGCGAGATCGCAGATCTAAGCGAATCCGAGTGCGAACTCAATGGCGGCGTGATGGCAGCCAACGAATCGTGGACTCCCTTTCAGCCCTCCTCCCGTTATCGCACCCACATCATGCACCAGGGCCTCAGCCAGCTGGTGGTGCAAATGCTGGCCGAGCTGTCGCAACTGTGTATGAAGCAACCGAACGGTTGGACCGAGAGCCTCACCCAGCTGGCAAATCGATTGTTCGTAATCAGGGATTATCTGGGCGGACCTCTTTGCCTGCTTAAGGGATTTGCTCCGATCTTAAGCTGTAGCGATCCGAGATTGAGGGGTGAGTTAGGGGAGGCAATTATAATGCTTTTAACACCTATAAGAAAAGCTTATATAAATTATATTACATAAATTACTATTTTTATTTACTCTAGAACTACAGCAATCAATCCTTGAGCTCATTACTCACCTGAATACACCAGAAATACTGCAGTGCTACTACTCGATTCTGGCCTCGAGACAGCCTCCAGTGGATCTGCTCATGCGCCACATGCATCACATATCAGCAGGATCGTTGCGAAAAGCTCAGCCCTGCATGGAGCTGGAGTTTCCAATTACCACAGATGGCAAGATTGTGATCACTTCGGAGCCACTTGTCAGTGAGCAAATCGAACGGATACGACTACATCACCTGCAATGTCAGACAAGCACTCTATTCACACGGGCTGCCTGCATTTTTCCGGTGACCCAAACACGGCTTTGGCAACCCGATGGCCTAACACTATCCCTCTGGATGGAGCTAAGGGGGCAGCATATCCATCGCAACTCTATGCAGTTCAATGACGATGAGACACGTTACTCGGGAGAGGATTTGACTGTGAGTTAAGGAACATATTACTTTGAAATTTATTTATCCCTCCATTTTCCTTCAGAAACTTCACCTACTCTCACTGGGCACCAACCAGGCCATGGTCAGCATTTACATAAGCCACAACATGCAGCTAATCTTCGAGCTGGTCAAGCCCAATGAGCAACTGTCACCAGTTCGCGTGGAAGAGCATATGGATGCCAGTGCTGAGACAGCCTCTGTGATTTCCGCCAATACGCAGGCAGCTGCGGCAGCCAATGGTGGAAGTATTCGGCAAGCACTGAAGCAGACCAAGCTAGCGCTACTCAACAGTTTCGGGCAAATGCACTTGCTCAATGGACACCAGTCGGCGGTGGCTGATTCCTCCGGCGGATATTTCGAGGGTTCGGCTGTGCAGCTGCCGCATCTGCGATTGCCTCGCCACAAGTGGATGCATCTGGTTTTTGGTTTGCAGCAACAAGGAGATGCCCTGGAGATTAGCATTTTTCTGGATGGTCTGGAGCAACACACTATGCGCCTGCCGTTCCATAATCTCCGCCAGCTGACGCGGGTGCACAGTTTCCAGATGCTGGCCTTGGGAGAGGGACAACCGACTAGAAGTCCCGGTAGTAATTCCTCCTCATCGCGGTCCACTCTTGATGGATCTTATCCTCGTTACGCTCTGTCCAATGTAATTCTCTTCCGGCGTCGATTGGTGGACCCCTCGCTCATGATGAATCTGACAGCCATGGGTCCGGATTTCACGGAGTTCACCCAGTGCCAAGTGGCCAACTGGAAGCCCAACTATAGCTTTGTTAATTTGGGCAAGCTGGCCTCGTCAAATTTCGGCAATCATCCGGACTGCATGCGGCAACTGAGGCAGGCCAGAGTCCTGGTTTACACTGCCCAGCAGCCTGATCTGGTGATGAGCTACGATGCCAGTCAGGAGCTGGACATGGCCTGCTACGGGCAGCCGCATGGACATATGCTGTATGGTGAGCTGTTGCAGCACCAACCGCAGACCCTCCAGGCGGCCACTTCCCTTAGCGGCGGCCTGTCAACGCTACTGTATCTATTTGCCAGGGTGAGTTTCCGTATATGATAATCCATACAATATAAAATGTATTATTATTTTAAACAGATTGTGGAGCTCAGTAGCAATGCCAATACCCAGGCATTGGCTCTGGACTTGCTGCTTCAGGTGGCCCACTCGGATGCTCAGTTGTACACAGAGTTTCAGCGACAGGATTATCTGGCACTCATTGGCTATGTCATCAAATCGGAGAAATGCAGCAAGGATGTGCAGCTACTGCGTAGTATTGTGAACAATGCCTGTTCCCAGGTGCTGATCAGCAGGAAAGGTGAATCCCTGAATGTAAACGACAATACGATGGCCACTTTGGTATATCCCCGTCTTGTGCTGGCCATCCTGCAGCGCTACTCGGACTGGCATCGCTCCGGGGCCACCCACTCCGACGTTCTCGACATGCTCTTTCGCTGTATTTTAGCATTGACACGGGATAAGCATCCGCAGCGTGATTTCAACATGGAACAGCTGCAGAAATGCGGCTTGTTGGTGGCTCTACTCAATCTCTGCAAGGTCTACGTCATCGAGTCTCCGAGTCCAGTTCAGATTTCACCCTATGCCGCCGAGTGTTTTGTCCAAATTCTGGCGGTATTCGCGGGATCACCTCCAGATTCCTCGATGCTGGATGAGATCATGAAGCTGCTGCTGCTACTGCACAAGCCTAGTGAGTGTTATGTGACCCATGACCGGACACACTTCTATTTCCTCCTGACGGCTCAGCAACCGGCCAAGGAGAGATCTTTGGTGGCAACTAATTTGAGTAGAGTCACCACTTCACTGCGTCGGCAACTGAATCCTCCCCAGCCCGAGGAGCTAGATCCCGAACGAGCAGAGAGAATCAAAAAACTACGACGCTTGCATACTAGCTCATCGGCTTATAGGAAAGCCGTCAACGATTTCGAGGAGCAACTAGAACAGATGGCCGACTGTTCGAACCTGAACAAGTCCGCTCTGCGACTACTGAGTCCCGTTGAGGCAACGCGTTGGCGTTTGAAGTTCAAGCGGCGGCATCCCACGAACATGTCCACTGGAAGTCCCAAGCGAAGTCCGCTAAAGATAGCCCGAAGGCGCATCCATCCGCACCTGCATCTGGGCAAGGTGTGGCAGCCATCAGGACATAGTACTCCCAGCTCGGGACAGTTATCCCTGCCGAATAGGAAGACGGATTTTTACGATCAGCCGGGCATTATTCGACTGCAGCAGCGTCTGCTCATTCTGCTCAAGGACTTTCTGTGCCTGCTGCCAGACTCCGCGGTGGATGTGGTTACCCGTCACTATGTAAAGCTGGAATTGCTCCTGGTGCTGGCCAATCAGCGAAGTTGTGCGGTCAGGCAGGCCGTTATTCAGCTCCTTGAAGTCCTAACAAAGCGTTTGGCCAGCGGAGAACTGAACGCTGCCACAAAGTCGCTGTATCCTGTGCATCTTGCCAACCAATTGACCATCCATAGCTGTGATATAGGCATGTTTGAAGCCTGTCTGGCTTGGACTAGCGGCGTCCATGGCAGCCTGGCGGATATGTTGAACGGCGAGGCCCCACTCAGGATACGTCAGCGCTTTGGCTTGCAGGCCCTGCTGGCCATAGCCGAGGGAACTGAGCCACAGCGGGTATTTAAGGCCTTGTTGAGGCTCTATTTGCAGGTGGGTCGTATCCATTGATGAAACAAGAACCTTATACTTATACTTTCACCACTTGCTCCCATAGAATCCCGATGATCAGACATGTCTGATTGAATCTGGGCTGCTGCAGTGTTCGGTCAAGGCTTTGTTCAAGATCTACTCTCTACGCTTGGGTCAGCCCAATGCAGATGAGTCGATTGTAGAGTTGCTGGCGAGTATTGGTGAGCGAGCTCTACGCTCAGTGGGTCAAATCAATGTAAGTTAATTAAAGATAATACCAATTAAGACTATCTTAAATTCATTCCTTCTTTCTTTAGCTCGTTTGGGACATACTCAACTTACTGGTCTTCTACCAGGACAAGCAGCCCCAGCTGATCATGCGCAGCTTCCGCACTGTGCAAGCTCAGCTACAGCTTGAGTGGTTGACTAAACTCTTTGAGCCAAACAGCTTCCGGATACCGACCAACGACTCCGCACTCAGTCCCACGGAATTACGCACCCGCGTGGAACTCCTTATTGATCGCTGCACACAGTTTTTCACCGTGGGCGTGGCGCAGACCACGGGACCCAACTATGTGGCCAGTTCCCAGGAGTTAGCTCTCTTCCAGCTCCTCGTTTCCTATGGAATTTCGAGCAATCAGCGTTGCAACAACTTCATCGCCTGGGGTCTGCAACCTTCGCGGCCGCGGGACCTGCGTTCCTACATTGTGGACGCTCTGTGGCGAGCGCAGCAGCAGGAGCGAGCTATTATTTGCGATGGGAAAATGATAAAAGCTTTGCTGTGGCTCTCTTTGCTCGAAGACATGGCAGAACCCATTGAGAATTTGCAGAGACTTTGTGATGTCTTGGGAATCAAGGAAAATGACTCGTCTTGGAATCTGGTGCACGAATTGGATCGTCTCGACCAAAACCGCAACAATATGACAGCCAAGCACAAAACGTTGCTGGAGAAGACTATCTACAGATTCGAGCCGTTGGTACAGCATTGCATTGAATCCTCCATGGTGACAACTAGGAAGGTGGCCGAACTGCAGGTACATTTCTTGATTATACCCTTCCAGGGTATTAAAATTTCAGTCAGAAGCTTGTTAGGCTGTGAAAGAGTCATATCTGACCCTATAAATCATATATATTCTTGATCAGCATCAACAGCCGAATCGATCTAGGGATGTCTGGGAGAAAAAACAAATTTATTAATTTTTTCAAAATTTTATAAGGGGTTACATCGTTGAAATTATCAACAAAATTATAAAAAATTTAACTTTATTAAATTTTAAAAACGAGTATGCAGATTTGTTAGCCTAATAAAAACTAGCATAGGAATGATTACCGAATTAAAATTAATGAATTTTTGGCTTAGCTATGAGTTTTTTAAATTTTTATTTCTCGAAAAATGTCTTATAAAAAATTTAATACGATTATTTTAAGCTTAATTATCATCAATTTTCGATACAATCCTTTTATTTAATTGGAAAGGGGAAAGGTATACAAGCTTCGATTTCCCAAATTTAGTTTCCTTTCTTGTTTTTGAGTATTTATTTGTTTTAAAAATGTTAATGTCCAATTTAGAATGCCGAACGCAAGGCTCTGATGTGTCACATGAAGGTGTATGATGACACCTACACCTACACCAAATGGCTGGAGATCATACGACGGATGACCCACGAGGGTGCACCCTGGCATTGTGCTGAGAGAGCTGAAAGGTGAGTCTTGAAGGGAAAGCAACCCATTCACAAAATCCAACTAATATTTTTCACTATTCAGCTCGTGGGAACTGGACGACACGGAGGGACCTTCGAGAGTCCACACTAGGTTACGCCGCTGCCACCTGGACATTGATCGGCGCTTTTTTATGCAGGAATACAGGCCGGGAAAGGGACAACGCGAGGATCTTGAACCCTACACGCGTCCCTTGGACTACCTTATATCCAGTTACGATCAGCAATTGAACATATCGCTCAACTCCCAAATTTTATACAACTTTGCCGCCAAGTTCCTGCCCGTTGACGGTGAGATTGAGGGCGAGATTATTATAACCGACCTGAAGCTATATTTCCTGGCCACGTACCGATGCCGGTACTTCAACGTCAACTGTGATATTGCCAACATAACGGAGATCTGGCTGAAACGTTACCAGCATCAGGAGACGGCCTTTGAGATACTCCTGGACACGAACAAGTCGCTGTTCTTCTCGCTGCAGAACGCTGACGATTGGAAGATCATGCGCGAGGTATTCTGTGATAAAATCGTGGCCACGCCCGATCAGGCCAAGGTGCTGGCCATCACGCAGCAGTGGCGCGAGGGACTGCTCACCAATTGGGAGTATCTGATGACACTGAACCAAATCGCCGGACGTACTTACAACGATCTCATGCAGTACCCCGTGTTTCCCTGGGTGCTTGCCAACTACAGCTCGGAGATTTTAGATCTCAGGGAGGGACAGAACTTCCGACGTCTAGGACGACCCATTGCCGTTCAAGTGGAGGAAAATGAGAAGCACTACGTTAGCAACTATATGGTGAGTAGGCTCAATGCTATAAGCTATACATGTGTGTGTTCCAGATATTGTAATGTTTAAAGAATTCATTTAAAGCTAAAGTCTTATATTAAAATTTGTATTTTTCCAGTACATTGACAGTACAAACACGACCATGGGCTCGCTTATCCTTAAGCCTTATCACTACAGTTCCCATTACTCGAATTCCGGCACTGTGCTCCACTTCTTGGTGAGGGTTCCACCGTTTACGAGCTATTTTCTGCGCTATCAAGACAATGACTTCGATCTTCCCGATCGCACGTTCCATGCGTTGAACACTACCTGGCTACTGGCCAGTAGGGACAGTCCCACAGATGTTAAGGAGCTCATTCCGGAATTCTTCTGCCTGCCGGAAATGTTTGATAACTTTGAGCGCTTCAACTTTGGCTGTCGGCAGAATGGTGAACGTGTGGAGGATGTCTCACTGCCTCCGTGGTGTCAGCGAGATTCGCGGCTCTTTGTGCTTATTCATCGACAGGCTTTGGAATCGGAACTGGTACGAAATCAGATTCATAATTGGATTGATTTGATCTACGGCTACAAGCAGACCGGAGAGAGTGCCGTCGAGGCCATCAATGTATTCCATCCGGCAGTAAGTAGACATGACACAACAAATTGAATACAGATTTTTATGATTTTTATATCTCTAGACCTACGCCGTCTTCCTTGACTCGGAGATAAGCGATCCAATTGAACGGGAGGCGGTCAAGACGATGGTAAAGACGTATGGTCAAATGCCACGACAGCTCTTCAAATCGCCACATCCGGCTACTAAGGCGCTGGACTATGCATTGGTGGACAAACCAATAGTGTCCACAGTTCGTGGCCTGCGCTGGGGCGTCTATGTGGGATCGCCGCAGCTAAAGCCACCTTCTTGGGCCAACATCCACAAAATTCCCGGCACCGAGCACTTGGTGAGCTTCAGCAACACGAATGTGGTTTACGCACTGCCTGCTAGAGCCAGTGTCATGCAAGGAGCCGAGCCGGACACGTATAATGTCATCTCGTGGGGCTACGATGATCGAATTGTGAGGATCCAACCTCTGAATAAACCACAGGCAAAGCCGAAAAACTTGCTGCACAATGGAACCTTTGACGACATCACCGCCTGTGGTTGCGATGTTAACTCGAATCAGCTTTGGTTTGGTCACAAATCTGGTCGTGTGAGTGTGTACAAGTGTGCCGGTGGACTGGACGCTGCTCACCAAAGAGCGTCCGCTAAGGGCAGGCAGAGCTATGTTCGTGGTTTCAGTCTGTCATACAACTCAGCTTTCCGTAAGATGACCAGCAAAGGCATGACAGTCGGTGGCTCTGACAGATCAGACGAAGCGGGCAGTCTTCATGCTACGCACTCCGCGTCCTCAGTGAACTCGTCTATCAATTCATTTTCTGGTGATGCCCTACAGCGTGATGGCGCCGATCTAACATGGCTTGGACCGACATTGCTGGTGCGGCACACGGATGAGATTACTTGTATTACCCTGTCCGTGGAGTTCAAGATTGCGGTTACCGCCGGCCGTGATGGTATAGCTGTCATTTGGGACCTCAATGAGTAAGGAAGCTATTTTTGAATATCTTTATATTCTTTTAATATTCTTCTAATAATTCCAGTTGGAGCTACGTGCGGACGATTGCCCGTCCGGCAGAGATTCACCAATCGCCCATAACGCATGTGGCCATCAGTCCCACATTGGGTGACATTGTCACAGTACATACACTGCCCGCCCAGCCCTCAGCAATGGATGCACAGTCTCCAGCAGCTGCTGTTGCCACAAGACCGACATCTCTAGCAGTTGTGGCCGACGAGTGCTTTGAGGTAACCGAGGAGAACCTAGATGACTTTGTAAATGTGAACGTGAATCCCAACGGCAAGTCTATTCTGCGTCTGCACTCGGTCAACGCTCGGTATGTGCAGCATCTGGTTCACGAGGATCGTATCATGGCCGTGTGTTACTCGTACATCAAAGAGGGAGTGGGTGTTAATGTGATAGCCACCGCCGTAGAGGGTGGATTTGTGCGGTTCTGGTCCAGCTGGAACTTGAGCTTTGTCAGTGAACTGACCACGGGCACTTCGCCAATTCGCAGGTAGGTTCTTGTGTTTTTTTTTTAATAAGAAATTATCAAGAGAGACTTAATTTTTACATATAATCCTGACCCTTCTCTTGCAGCATCTCTTACTCGACACATCAGCATTTGGTGGTGCTAACGCGGGAGTCCCACATACAGGTGTGGGAATCCGAGGGCCTCTATGGAAATGCCCCAAAGTTTCCGCAAATTGTCTACAAATGAGCATCGCTTTAAACTCTAAACATACTCAATGAACTCACACACTTAAGGCATATCAATGACAGACAGATAATAAATTAAAAAGCAGCTGAATCAAAGAACAAATATTGTGTCGCGGTCACCGAGGATATTTTCCTTGCTTCTAAAAGATATACATACATATAAACAATTTTCCCTTCGTGACCCCCACAAAAATTGGGTATATCAGATGAAGACTTTATAAGATTCCTAGGCTTACGTCTCATAGAGCTGTAAAATACACACACACACCTTTTGTACCAAAACTTTTTATTATGATTTATATTATACTTTTCGTATTTTTGTTTTTCCCGCGCAGCATCAAAATGCAAGCGCTGCCTTCAATATTGTTGATATTATTAAATAAAAACTATCATATATTTTGCGAAAACTAAGCGATGACACATAAATTTTTTTTCTAAAACTAAATCATTTACTTTTTAAACTTCTAAGTAGAGCGCATTTACAACTACGATATGTATCGTAATTATTATTATAAAATTAATTATAAGTATTACTAAATATAATCATATATATATAGCTATATATATAGGTTAGCCTCCCCTGATGTCAGCACTTCCAGGGCGGTAGAAGCTTGCTGTTCCCACTCGCGCTCTTTGGTTTGCCTTGTTTACTGCCCTGTTTGGCTGTCAGAGACAAGATCTCATCGAGTTTGTCGAAATCACTGGGAGACTTGCTTAGGAGCAGCTCTATATAAGCCTGCAACTTGTCCATGGGCGAGGGTGGATCTCGTTTGCCCACCACATCCAGGTTGTTCTTCTCCGTGTTATTGCTTCGTTGCGACTTGCTTGTCTTGGGCGTTTCGGGATAAACGACGCGGGCATTGTTCAATTCAGGCGACTCGCCATCCGTGGTGTCGCCGCAGGTGTGGTTATGAGAGTTTTTACTGGGGGAGGTGAGAATAGCCAGAGCCTGCTGCCATTGGGCCTCCATCACGCCATGCAGCTTCTCTGCTATGTCAGCACTGGAATTACATTTTTATTTATATTTGGTTAATTATTCTATTTAAAGGAGATAACCTACCGTTTGGTCTTGTAACATCCGAGCTTTAGTTCCATCTCTTCGATCTTTTTAGAGGCATTGGCAAGCTGCAGGCGATATAACTCAACCTCTTCGCTGTGCTTTTCCTGAATAAGATTTAGTTCCTGATTGTTCTTCTCATTTATCATTTCCAGCTGCTTCACCGCCCGTTCGGCTATCAGTCTTTCACGCTCGCGAGCCTCATTCTTAAGATGTTCTTCGGTTTTGTCCAACTGATCTTGAAATTCTCGCATCTTCTTGGACACCACATTCTCCATTTGCTGTTGGTAATACTGCTTAAGAGATTTTTGCTGGATATCCAGTTTCTTCTTAAGGTTGGTCTGTAAATGATAATGGATATTTGTTAAACGTGTATAAGTAAATAATAAGGATTATTAGGGTCACCTCAGTCTCTGTTAGATTGGCCAAGGTCTCCTGCAGGGATTTCCGCTGCGTTTCCAAGGCATCAGCTCGATCTTTTTGCTTTTGATGATATTCCTGCAGCATCTCCTTTTGATGTGTTAAGGTACTCTTGTCTTTCTCCAGCTCATCGATACGGGCTTTAAGCTACAATATAAATATAAGTATTAACTATGGAAATATCAATAATACTAAGTTTATTTAAAATCACCTTCTCCTGCTGATAATCCACTTTGGCGAACTTATCCCTTAGCTTGTTCAGCTCAGCGTGCGATAGTTCCTCGGCCCTCCTGCTGCTGTGCAACTGGATTTCCAACTGTTCCAACCTGTCATCCCATTGCTTGGACTCGCGCCTTTGCTGGTCCATTTCAGTCTCCAGTTTCTCGTTCTTCTCTTGAAACTTGGTTGCCAAGTTGACTGCCTGCGCCAACTCGTGCTGTAGATTATCAATTTTGCCATGAGATTCGCCTCGGTCCGCTTCCAACTGGTGGATCCGGTCCCGCAGTTGCTGAACCTCATAGTTGAGAGCCTTAGCTGTTTGCTCAGCTCCGTTCAGAGCCGCATCCTTGGAGCGATCGACTTCGATGGCCACAGATATGCGCTGTTGGTATTCTAGCAGTTGCGATTGCAGCGTATGGACAGTCTTCTCCAGGTGCTGTCGTCGCAATTGCTCCTCCTTAAGGGACTGAGTGCTCAGCATTCGATGGGGCGAGTTGTTGTTGTCCAGGACACTTCCCGCGAAGCTGTTTTTGCCCCAAAGTTCGCTCAGGCTGATGAGTTTGTTATCGGTTGGGCCATGACTGTTGCGAATGCATCTGGCCGGATCCACGGAAGATCCGGAGGCAGAGGACGTCAGCCGCATACTGGGCAGGGAGGTAGCCGCTGGCTGGACATCTTGCACCAGCGTCCGCTCTTTTCGCAGCTGTTCATCACTGTGGTGATGAATGTGGTGATCCTGGCGCTGCCAGTGATTCCCTATGTTCTCATCCAGATATTGATCGATCTCCAGGAGGATATTATCCTCCGAAGACCGCTGCCGGTGCCTGACTGGCGGTTCCACAGATCCGCTCTTGGGCGTGGAGTGCACCATCCCGTGCAGCACCCTGCCGCCATGCTGCCTTCCCGAAGCTGTCCTCACCGTGTTCGTGGATATTGTAGATATATCGGACGCCTCGAAATGCCGATCATCCTCTGCCTCGGCCATTCCGATGTTCTGGAGCCTGGCATTAATATGATTTAGCTCCGTTTTCTTGCTGGGATGGAGAAACTGGTATGCCGCAGTGGTTGGTGCCGGGGGTGGTGGCATGGCCAGTGCGTCCGCCGACGCTGCCGCGCCTGCGCTCATCATCTTCACCTCCTGCAACAGCCGCTCGGCGGTGTCCCTGTAGTAGTTGGGCGGTATCAGCAGCAGAAGATCAGTGTCGTCCGTGTCCGTGTCGCTCATTCCTTCCACATAGTCGCGACTTCTCCAGATGGTCCTCTAATCCGCGGAAACCTGCGGCAGATGCAATTGGTTTTTGTTGTTGTTGCTATGGTGATGAGAGGAAGCGTAAACAAGGCAGCAGGGTTGTCATTCGTTCGTGAAAATTCAGACATATCGCATAAAATATCGGATACAAGGATAACAAGGATAAAGTATTTATATGGGTAATTCTTTATCACAGTCAATCAAAGCCATTCTACATAAAAATTAGTTTTCCTTTATTATTATATATGCATTTTTATTAAACTTTTCTATATTATTATCTACATGAGTCAAACTATAACCAGAAAAATAAATTCTCATAAAAATGGTTTACCTTTTTTTGATGATATTATTTAGATTGTGATGTTGAATATAACAAAATGTTTGTAATATGTTAACAATCATTAAATATACGCATGATTATTCCATTAAAAATAAATTAAACAAAAAAGGACTCTGAAACGACTTTAAAAAGACATACCAAAGGACAAGTAGTCATGGGAACTATCGTAACATAAAATCGAATTTTAAAAACAATTCTCCTAAATAGGACTTAAACCGTTATTGTTATCTTCCAAATAGTGCAATTATTTCTGCTTTATTTGTTTTTTATTAAATTAAATTTGGCAAAGGCAATAAAAATAAAAATAAATAAATTGGCATTCCACAGTCAAACTATATAAATACTAGTGTTTCTTTATTAATATATATATATATATATATTCTAAACCATAACCAGAAAAATAAATTATCTATAAATGATTTATTTATTTATTTATTTATTTTTGATGATACTATTTAGCTTGTGATGTTGAATATAACAAAATATTTGGAATATGATAACAATCATTAAATTTACGCACTATTATTCAATTTAAAAAAAAAATTAACAAAAAACGACTCTGAAATGAGTCTAAAAAGATATACAAAAAGACAAGTATTCATGGGAACTATCGTGACATAAAATCGAATTCAAGGAACTTTATTCTCTTAAACAGGGCTAAAGCTTTTATTGTTGTCTTCCAAATAATAAAATAATTTCTACTAAGTAGTTACTTTTTAATTTATGTTTTTGTGAAGGCAATAAAAATTTAAAAAATATGAATTGGCATTCCACGGCCAAACCATAAAAATACTTTTTTTCTTTATTATTATAAGTTTTTATTAATATTTTAGATATTTTTATGTAGATGACTTGAAATCACAACCAGAAAAATAAATTTTTATATAAATGGGTTATTTTATTTATTAATTAATTTTATTTTTTTAAGATATTATTTAGCTCGTGATGTTGAAAATAACTAAATATTTGGAATATGACAACAATCATCAAATTTACGTACGAATATTCCATTTAAAAAAAATTAACAAAAAAACTACTCTAAAACGACTTCAAACGACATACAAAAAGACAAGTATTCATGGGAACTATCGTAACATAAAATCGAATTCAAGGAACTTTATTCTCTTAAACAGGGCTTAAGCCTTTATTGTTATCTTCCAAATAGTACTTATTATTGTTTATTTCTGCTTAAATGCTAATTTATTTAATTTAATTCTGTAAAAACATTACAAATAAGGGTTGGATATAAATTTTAATTAAAAGCAAGTTGGCATTCCCGTCGCAATTAGAGTGACCGAAAGAAATATATCAAAATATCAAAAATCGCAATCGAGAAGTATTTTCAAACACCAAGATCTTGAGAAAACAAGTGTTTTGATAAAAAATGCGCACTTAATTTCCCGCGCGGCTCCAGAATGACAGATGTTTGTGTCCTTTGTGTGGAAGGGTTGCCGGCGGTCCCCCTGAAGCCAGATGAGATATACAGGATCGGGAAACAAGCGGGTCTGGAGATTTGCATTGCCGACGACGTGAGTTTGAGTGAATATGTTTTTGGGAATTGGAAAAATTAATGTCCTTCGGAATGTGTACAGTCGATGGAGCTGGCCCATGGCGTCGTCAGCCTCCTGCGAAGCGGTATCGTTCGCTTAGCCGCCGTGGCGGGCAGGATATTTGTGAACGAGGAGGAGAAGCAGATATCGGATATAGGAAAGAAGGACGCCAGCAATGGGAAGGTGAGGCTTCGATTCGGCAATGTGGAGGCCAGTCTGCGGTTCAATGAGGCCAATGAAGAGGTGAGTGGACATCCTGGTCTGAGCAGTTTCCTATTTAAGTTTACGCACTTTTTGACAGGCCCAGGACAGCAGTGGCTTCGGCGAATGCCTAAAGGACAGGTCCATTCAGGACACGACTGATGACAGCCTATGCATACCTGAAACGCAGCCTCCGTCCGAAAATGTTAGTGTTAATACCACGGCGGACAGCTTCTTTATACCCGAGACCCAGGCGATTGTTTTCGAAAACCCCACGGGGAAGCGTGGAAAAGTATCGCTGGGCGATGACTTCATGATTCCCGAAACGGAGAATCCCCCAGATCCTGCAGACCTGCCCCAGGAGCCGACGATGCGCGGCAGTAATGATTCCGAGTCATCCAGCATGGGCTCCCAGATACGTATTTGCACACAGGATTTTAATGAGTTCAATGAGGATGCCATAGACGACTTTGATTCGTCGCTGATGCTAGGCGATGCGCTGATGGCTTTGGGACCGCCAAAGGCAAAGAAAGAATCGACAGAGAAACTTGACAAAAAACAAGGTAAATGCAGCGATTAGTTAAGAGCTTATTCTCTAGTCTAGACTAACAAAGCCTTTCCCGCTTTAGAAAACCAGCTGGATGCCACTGACCTTGAGATGAGTGCCTTAAATTGGTCATCCACAAATTCAAAGTGCAATGTTTTCAACAGCACCAAGGCCGATGAAGAACATCGAGCGTCCACCTGCATAACACCTGATTTGAGCGCTCCTCTCGCCGACGCCAATCGTGACATCAGCACGCCTGAAATCTTAGAGTTGATGGAAGCTCATGAGGAGGAGAATGTAGTACAGCGATCGGGTTCCACCACACCGCAGCTTTGCGGGATTAAGCAGCTGGTTGTGGCCACCATTGAGACCCCGAGAACAACACAAAATGAAGAGGACGAAGACGACACTGCTTTGGTTAAAGATACAGACATAAATCAAGACTTCGTGGCCACTCAGGCATTTCCTTCGCGATTTCTACAACAAAAGGAATCCCCTGAGCGACCCAATCAAGACTTTATCGCCACTCAGGTATTTCCTAGCAACGGCAATATCTCTGAAGTTAGGCAAAATGCTGAAATTGATCAAGATTTCGTCGCCACTCAGGCATTTCCATCACGACTTCCTCAGACAAAAGAATCTCCAGATAAACCCTATCAAGACTTTGTGGCTACTCAGGCATTTCCCTCAAGACTACCTCACTCTAAAGAATCTTCAGGGAAAGTTAATCAAGACTTCGTAGCCACTCAGGCATTTCCATCAAGACTCCTCAGTCAAGAGAATCTCCTGAGAAAGTTTATCAAGACTTCGTGGCCACTCAGGCATTTCCATCGCGGCTTCCCCAGCCCAAGGAATCCGCTTTGAGACCCAATCAAGACTTTGTTGCCACTCAGGTATTTCCAAGCAAGCGCCACACCCCTGCTCGAGCTGGGCAAGACTTTGTAGAGACACAACCATTTAATTTCAACAAGGAAAACGTTCCGCAGGTTACAGGTGAGTAATTTCAATCAATGGATCTGGAAAGAGTAGTTAGCTCCATAGCCTTTCCAGATTCATGGAGTGATGAGATCGAAGAAATACTGAATGAAATGACTTCCGGCAATGTAGTTTCATCACCGCTATCATCGCCCAGTGAAGAAGTTTTGCAGTACGTCAAGCCAAATGTAATCAAGGACAAGGATCATAACCGAAAGGTAAGCCTAGATAGCTAAAAAACGTATCACCAATTAACGCAATATATGTATTTCAGGTTTTTCTTTTCGAAAACGTTTTCCCCAACGTGGACAACGAAAATCGCTGGAAGAATGAGCTACTAGTTGAAGAAAAAATAGGTCTAAAACGCACTGCCAGTACTGATGGTCAGTCGCCTTTTGTGACACGTAGGTTTCTTATTGTTTACCATAAAAAATATATGCTAAAATGAATATTAATAATATTATAATAATGATAACTTCCTATGCTTCCTACAGCCAGCAAGAGAAACCGACGTTTATCAGACCAACCGGAGAGATTAAATGATTGTTCCACCTTAAGCTGCTCTAGAAAACGTCCAGTTAACTTGCAGGAAAGCGATAAGTCTGAACGTAACTATCTTTAAAAACATATAGATGTTGTATTAATTTTTCCCTCTCATCTCAGCTCCCATTAAAAGCATGTGCAAGGTAACCTCCTTTTTAGAAAAGGCGGAACTGAGTACAGAGGATGAAGCTGCTGCTCCCAAAGTGGCCGTCACTAAGCGGCCGACTCGCAGAGGTAAAACTAAGAGCCGGTCCCCTACTTCAACTGTAAACACCAACCAGGGCGACAAGTCTGAACGTAAGTATCTTTAAAAACATATAGATGTTGTATTAATTTTCCCTCTCATCTCAGCTCCCATTAAAAGCATGTGCAAGGTAACCTCCTTTTCAGAAAATGCGGAACTGAGTACAGAGGATGAAGCTGCTGCTCCCAAAGTGGCCGTCACTAAGCGGCCTACTCGCAGAGGTAAAACTAAGAGCCGGTCCCCTACTCCAACTGTAAACACCAACCAGGGTAAAAAATCACCAGGACTAGGAATAAACAGGCTAAAAGTCAGGAGGACAACCTAAGGAAAGTCCACCAAGAGCGATTAGGACAAGGCGACAAACTAAGTGCTTAGACCCCGAAGAAGTCAGTACAAAGCCGCCGGAGGAGATTATGACAAAGCAAAAGGAGGCCATGTCAGAGCCAACTAAAGAAGAGGTCGGTAATAAAAGAGGGGCTAAGAAATTAGTGGAAAGTGCCAAAAAGAACCCTGAGGAAGCTAAAGTAGAAGCTAAAGAAGAAGCTGAACAGTCTGCTTCCAAACGTGGCAGAAAGAAAACTATTGGTAGTGCTAAAAAGGACTCGAAAGAACCTAAGAACTTGACAAAGCGCAGACCAGGCAGGCCGCGCAATAATTCATCATGTGAAGATTCAATTTCAAAAACTTCCATGTCTGAAACAATTACTCCTGCCAACGAAGATAAAAATGTATTAGAGGATTCATTAAAGAAAAAGCTCGTGGTGCGTTTAAAAAGAGCAATATCTTTGGAAACTCCATCAACCAGCACCACCTCTACGACAGCCCCAACTGAAGGTAATGCAGTCGAAGGGAAAGCTTCAAAGAACACAACCAGTGCACGTAAGTTTGATTGAAATAGTATTTTGCATTTAAAAACTAATTTAAATTGCAGCCAAAACTCGACTAAGTCAAGAAAATCATCAGGACCCACTTAAAGGTAATTTGTTTGTTCTATTTTTGATATCGGTTTAACCCTATAATGAATTCTTTTTTCTTAGCCTTCAATAAATATGTGAGGCAGGCCAAGTTGAATGGAAAATTAAAGATCGCATTCACCGTGTGTGATCGTCAGGCTTTGAATTCCGTCATAAGGTCCCTTAAATGTAAGCACAACAAAAATTTTAGGTTATACATTTCTAAATGAAAATTGAGATCGTTTGAATTTTTTTAGATGTGGTCGATGTCACGGAGGATCCTCTACAGTGTGACGTTCTTATTATGGACAAGGGCGAGCGCACCTTCAAGTTCCTCGCGGCAATTGCCTTAAACAAGCCCGTTTTCAACTCCAAATGGCTGGAATCTATAAAATCAACTAAAACCATCACCGTAAAGGACGAACATCTGTTTAATGATTCTAATTTCAAAAAGGGGTTCAAGTTTGATCCCTTAAGCGTAATGCAGCATCCTCGCTTGTTTAATGGTTTCAACTTTCTGCTGTGCGAGGGCATCCAACCGAATGTTAATGATATGAAGGGTGCGTCAAGTATAGATTTTATGTTATTTTGTTTAGGGATAGCAGATAATATCAATCCCTTTCCTCTTGATATAGATCCCTGAACTCCGTTAGTAATTTCTTCATCTTTCTTTCCGTAGTCATCATTCAAAGTGCAGGTGGCACAGTTCACGGCAAGCCGCCTCCTTTAGCCAGCAGCAAGGATCTGTATGTCGTGACCACTAGCAAGGACAATCATTCTAAGCAGCGCCTAAGGAATTACGAAAACGTACACTATATTAAGACCGAAGGAGTTATGGCTTCGCTTGTCCAACACAAAGTGGATCTCCTGGACGAACACAAGGTTAAGCTTTAAACCTGTGCCAGCTGCGGTCGGTGCTAGTACATAAAAGTCAGAATTGTAATTGTTTCGTTTATACTGTATGTATGCGGCAGAGGTTCGGTAGAGATTTTTTGCGACCCGCGATACAGGGCCTTTCCGACCACTGCTGTTAGCTGACCGTAATTGTAACTATTTTGTTTTTTTGTTTGGCTTTTGTATTCAAATATTTGTTGTTAGTTATCCTGTCAAATACATCATACTTTATTTCCTTATTGTACTATAACATCTATTCCAACTTCTTTCGCTTCGATCCCGTGGGCTTGTCGAACTGCTGCCTCATGCCGCCGCCGCGTTCGTTGTGGAACTTGATGTTGCTGGAGGACTCTGCGTACCAGGGCGAGTCGAATTTGGTGGTGTCCTGATCAACTAAATGCGTGTACTTGGTGCGTCCGCAGCGTCCGAAGTTCTTCACCTGCATCACCTTGGGCAGGATGGTCTTGTCGAAATGATCTTCAAGCGTGGCCTGCGCAAAGTCGCGCTTCAACACGTCGTTCTCCTCGTCCAGGTAGAAGGCGCCACGGTGGTAGTACTTCTGCAGGAACTTGTACTTCCCCTTGGTGGCCTTGTTGGTGACCAACTTGGGGTTTTGGCGCAGCTCCTGGCGTCGCTCCTCCTCAGTGAGATTACGCATACGATCAATTTCCAGCTTTTCGCGTTCGTTGTTGTCGCGTTCCTCACGGTCCCGCTTCATTCTCTTGAGCTCGCGCAGCTTCCAGGCCTCGTACTCCACCTCGTCGTTCTCATCGTCTGTGCACACATCCTCGATGCAGGCCTCGTTTGACTCTGGCTTCGTCTTCTCTAAATCCTTCTTGACGCTCTCTTCTACCAGTCGCAGAGTGGCTCTTCTCCGTTCCTTGGCCGCCCGCTTGGCCTCTGCCTCCAGTTGCTTCTGTTTCTGGGCTTCGCGTTCTTTTTCCTGGATGGTGGCGCGATCCCTTTTCCGCACGAAAAGCGGTTTCAGTCGGGGCTCGTTGTCCTCCTCGCTCTCGGTCTCCTCCTCGTACTCTGAGCTCTCCGACTCAGAAGATTCCGACTGCTTTTCGTCCTCTTTTGGAGCACCTCCTCCTCGCGTTGCTGTTGCAGCATCCGTGATCGGAGTTTAATACGACGCTTCTCCAGCTCTGTGTCACTGAGCTCAGCATCTGTGTCGGATTCGGAGGCCAGTGTAATCTTGTTTGTGCCTCGCTCAAGGTTTCTTTGCTGCTCCTGGCCTTCCTTGTCCGCCTCCTCGTCGTCCTCGCTGTCGCTCTCCATGATTTCGGGCTCGTGGATGTGTCGGTGGCGTTCCCTGCGCTCCCGTTCCATATCTTCCATGTCCACGGGTCTGGCTCGCAGTCGTCGCAACCGGGGATCATCTACCTCCGCCTCATCCTGCTCGTCCGCCTCTCCCGGAGCCTTGTCTTCGCCCTCCGCGGTACCTTCTCTACGGGAGAGCTCCATTTTGTGGCGCTCGGCTTTGTGGCGCTCCAAGCGCTTCCTGGTGTCAATGAAGTCATCTTCGTCACTCTCCTCGGTACTGGAATCGGCTCGTGCGTAATCAGGGCGCTTTCCGGATATATACCGCTGCACCTTTACCTTTTGCATGGACAATTCACCTAAATGGATTTGATAAACAATGCGTTAAGTGGAGCTGATGGATGGAATTCTTTGTTTACCCTTTTCATTGCGCACGGGAATGGCGCCAGCGGTGCTCTGAATGCCCGTGGGAGCGGTGGCGGCACTCATCTCGGCTTATTTTGTTATTTTATGGTGTAAAAAGCCAATTATTTCTTTGAATTGTTTTTATTTTGCAAGATGTGAAGATGAAGAAACGATAACGATAATATTTTCAAAGTAATCGATTTAGTCAATCGATGTTTGAATGTGACCGTCTATCACCAAATTCGAATTCGAGTTCGAATGGCAGCACTTTCGCCAAAAGCGGTTAATTTTAAATTTAAAGAAATGTTTGCATTTTTTTTTACTTTTTTTTTGTGGATCTTATAGCTTTAAAAAAGTCTAAATTAGGGAAGTGTGACGTATTGGGATCCTCTTTTTTAAGGCCACCGACTAATTGAGACATTCAATTAAAGTTCAAATTAGTTAAACTTTCCTTACAGATAAAAAAAGTTTTAATATATAAATATTATGTTTATTGTAATAAACTGCTACCAAATACTGAATTACATTTAGCATAACAATTTTGAAACGATATACCAATTTCCAAGTATTCAATCAAGAATCTAAAAACGGAGCAACTGAAGGGTTTTTCTCTTCTTTTTGATCAAAAACAGAATAACTTTATGATATTTCAGACTTTTTTCTCAGTGCATCTCATATTTTGATATAAATTTTAGCAATGTCAGCGCCCACAGTCATTAATGCGGTAATTGACTACTACGCTTTCTCTCCAGACATTTCATAAATATTGATGGGCGGTCGGCTACACACATCCGATCTTGATCTTGGGTAATTACTGTCGCAATTGAATAACCCAAAGCGTGAAGAATTGTTTCAAAAAATTCTTTTATTGATACATATATCGTTTGTTTTTTATTATGTTTCGACAGCACGCAGGCAGCACGTGCCATCGGGTTATGTAAATAAAGTTCTTACAACGATGCCCAGTTAACATACTAGACCAAAGTCCGAAAGAACAACCTGATGAGCAAGAGGCTCGACCAGTTTTGTGACGTCTCTCCAGCCACTTGCATCTGACTAAGCAGAGTTTCTGGTGTTTTTGTTGGATTTGGCTCGGTGATTTGTTGTATTAGGATTGTTTCGGGCCTAAACACACTGCTGCGTCGCATTTGCCGAACTGCTTTGAACTGCTTTTGGTTGGCTCAGGCTTGGGTGCACAGTATCTGGTAGTAGTATTGTAGTTGGAATGGCCAAGATTTACATGAGAGACTGTTAGTTAACGACACGGCAGGTATATTTAATTAATGCAACACGCTTTGGAGCTTAAATGCAGCGCCCCTCGCCTATCTGCGGAACTAGAGATATGTCCCCCACTGACCTTAGACCAAAACGCGTTGATTTGGAGACTTTCCGTCCACCTGTCTGGCCGGGGAAGTCCCTCGTAAATTCGACATTAATTCTTTAATCTTATTTGGACACATAAGAGCCGGCATCCCTCCCTCCTTCGTCCACGTGCATTTCCCTTAATTCTTCTATTTAAATTTATTGCGATTGGAGGCGGGAAAGGGAGCTCCTTTTGAACTGGCCCGGCGACCAGAGCGCGCGAGGTTTCAATTCAAATTGCCACTAATACATTTCAATTAAAATTAAACACTCACACTCGAGCGATAAAAAAAATTGTAAACAAATAATTTTCTATTAGCGGGAAAGAAAGAGTGTCATGCCTGATCAAAATCGTACCAGATCGAACTCGTTATCGTTATCCAAGTAGGAGACATAACCATAGCCATAGCGCCAATTGAGGCGAGGCGACAAAACAATACGAAATAAATACGACAGAGAGAGATAAAATCGTTTAAAAGATTATTAATTGGCGCACTTTTTTCTTTTGTGGCGAGTTACTTAAAAAATAATAAAGGGAAATATTTACACCATCACGCAACCGAATCTTGCCAAGAAAGCACTTGTCACATCTCTCCGCTGTCCAACAATTAAGCTTTTTTGTTTTGTTTACCGAGCATTTCCATTACTTAATTAATTGGCGAATGGGTCTCGGGTTTCCAATCTCCATATCTGCAAAGGAGTTTGGAAAATACCGGATATTTTCCGCATATCATTTTTGAGGAATCGGAATCTACGGCAAGAATGAATCAGAACATTGCAATTCCGCAATAAATTGATTTGAATTGAATATCTTTTTTTCATCTTGTGGTTTGGCAAACATATTTTCATTAAAAGGAATTACTTAAACTCATAAGCATTTGTTTTTATTGAATGTCAACAAAGTTGCATTTAAAAAAGGGTGCTAAAAAAGAAAGAAAATATTAACTAAACGTGATTTATATTTAAACAAGAAGGGGAGCTAACTTCCTAAAGACGAAGTATATATACCCTTGTAGTTAGAAATTTTTTTTTTCCACCGGACATGTTTAGATCGACTCAGCTGTTGATGCTGATCAAGAATATATATGATTTTTAGGGTCGGAAACGACTCCTGTTACAAACTCCTGACTGAAACTACAATACCCTTCAAGAGTATACAAATACGAATACTTTCGGTAACACCTTGTTCTAACTAATAAATTATCTAGCTAATATTTCAATGAATCTTCCTATGACGTGACAGTTAAAACGGATTTATTTGACAACTAATAGTTTCTGTATTATTTAAGCCCTTGGAGCAAATCTATAGATTATAACTAAATTTTCTCAGAGCACTTTAGTAGCTCTTAAATAAACTTTGAATAGTACAAACTAAATAATAAAATACTTGATAAATTTGAATATTTTGATGACTTATTTCCTGTTATAAAGTATTTAAATAAACAGCACTTTAGTTATTTGTGATTGAATAGAAATAAAAACGATGATGTTAAACATTGGCTTGATGAATTAATGTAGAGGTTGCATTTATTATAATATTGTAAAATATTAAAAAATATTTTTAAAATTAACTCAAAATAAGTTGCTATACTTTTGCTTTGGCTTTCTATTGATTTTACTCTCTCTTTGCGATGATCGGCGATCGCATATCCGGCGTCGCTCGAGCTTCGGCTGCGTCTTTTGCTTCTGGTTCGCCTTTTGCCTGCTCTTAGTTCGATCTTCGCTCTTTCTCCGCCTCTCAAAGGCCCCCAGACGAAGAGAGATCGAGTTCATTGAAATGTGGGGTTCCCGAAGCGAAGCTCCAGCGAGATCTGTCATCTGTGATTTTGCCTGCGCCGCCTTGGGTGTCGTATAAAATAACGTAACGGCTGCTTGCAAAACTCATTCAGTTCAAAATTGTCAATACGTTCGAACCGCCAGGAGAACCAAGCCCATCAAACAGTGCTCAAAGTCAAAGCAAATACACCAAGGACGCAAGGATATTATAAGAAAAGGATTATAGTTCCTAGTGATATAAACAGTTTAGTTTTGTGAACAATATAAAAACACGTTAATGAAATACAGAAATAATCGTGGCACCATCTTGCAAATACAGTTCAGAACATTCCTAAGATACCATAATCCATCTTCGATTCCATTTGAGTGCTAAAATAAAGACAACAACTGAAAGATTTCGAATTTAACGAATTGGAAAATAAATTAAACGAGGTGAGAATCGAATAATTATCAAAGTGCTAATCAGTGAATATGTTAACCCGTCGAGTTTTTCTATAAGATAATTTTGTTATGATGTATTAGTTGTCATTGGCCAGCAGCCTTGTGATGTAAGGAAACCGTTTAAGGCGTCAAAACAAACAAATTATGGTTAATAAATAAATGACAAAAAACTAGGCCAAATTAATATCTTTTGTTTACTAAAAGCTTAACTGAAGTTAAATTACTTGTAACTAATTCTGGTAAAAAATGTTACATTTCTCCCGGCGTCACATGAGAGAGAAAAATATTAAAATAAAGGCAACCTATAACGACTTGTAATAAAACCAGCAAAACTTACTCTAGCGAGGAAAGACTGTTCTAAAAAATATATACAAATTATCGGTAATTGTTTGACTTGAGCTTTGGTATTAGGCAATATTTGCAGCTGTCAAGGCTGTGGGGAAATTGCTCTGATTGATCTGGAATCTGAAACCGAGGCGGCAACAAGTGTCCAGTGCTCTCACCCACTTTGCCAGCCTCCAGCGATATCTTCCGCCACCAGTCTGGGCCGCAAATCATGTCAACTGATGGCTGATGATTTTGTTTAAATTAATAAAAACAATAAAAAAATGGAAAGGGGAGAGATAAATAAGTCGAGCGAAACAAAACAAAGCACGCATACCAATTGGCGATGCCAGAAATGCTGAAGATTGAAAAGTCCATCAATTAAGCAGAACTTTGGAACTTGACACTCATACGACCCGTGGTACCGATCCACCCAGTAAAACGAGTTTCACCCCAAAGACGCTATCACAACAAACAAAGTTCTAAGTTGGTTTAATATGTATTTATACAAAATATTTAGGGTACCTAAAACAGGATAAGAGAAGTTTGTTAAACTTTATAATGAAACAAACAATGAAGGGGAATTAGTTTAGACGGTTCTTCTCATTTAAATATTTTAATAGTGTTTGTTAAAGATAAAGCAAGAAAACTGTGTCTACTTCAAATTCTATTACAGAAAGCAATTGCTTAAATTATTTGCATATTGATAATAAAAGTAAAGGTTTCTCTTGTAACGTGCCTGTAAATATTATAATAAATAAAACTTCTAAGAAATGTTCTACATATTACTTATATATAGTTCAAGTCGTTCTAAAATATATTTAATATATTCTCAGTCATACCAAAGCATATTTTATATTTTTCTGATAATTCATTTGTTAGCTAACATTTTTAATACTTAGTTAAATATACTTACTACTACTTTTAAAAAGGGATATTTTTATAAATTATTATTATTATTATTAATAATTTGTCGCAGTGCAGGGATCCCCTTTGGACTCTCTTCTGTTTGTGTTTATTTTTTCGGTGCCAAACTCTTAGCCAAGTCATGTTTAAGTGGGAGGCTGGCTCCTCTCTTAGCATCTTCCCCACAAGCAAAGGCGATGGCGAATTTCTGGCCCAAACCGGCGCAATCCGGCTCAGTCCAATGGCCACCGATCTAAACCAGTTGAATTCGCTTAAATCTCAATTGGCGCACAGCGCGCACACACATTGCTTATTTTCATTTTCGCTCAAGACGTTGTAGCCCTGTTTTTGCAACAGTATCAGTGCCATTTTTAATATGTATTAATGTCCGTGTGGGACAGGAGCAGCTTTTCTTTAATGGCTTGATTGGCTGGAAAAGTGGGAGGAGGCATCAGGCAGGAGGAGGCGCCAGAGCTTCTATATTGATTGTCTCGAGTCTGTGTTTGAGATCAATTGATGGGGTTCTGATTGCGATCTGTTATCGGGGGTTGCAAAATGTGTATTTTATGATTTAACAATTAAGGAAAGGCAAATTAATGTGTGTAATAAATATAAGTTACTCAAATATACAGTTCGTTGATTATTTCCTAGATTACTTAAATAGTTTTTTATTTAGAATATTAATCCAGTTTTAAGCTGGCGTATCAAACTTCAAACATTTTGCTAAATAGTTTATCAAATTGCCAACCCATCCATGCGATTTCTTTTTGGCCAGAAATAACCTGTTTCGAGTGGCATAACAACCAGTTAGAAGCAGCATTCAGAGTACCGAAGTTCAACCTGTAACACTGTAAATATATGCCTTGAAGAAATATATCCGAAATAATTAAAATAAAATAACTGCGAGTGAAAAGTGATCGCCTTGAAAGCCGTCGCGTAAAGAAAACATATTAATCATAAAGCAATTACACTTAAATGGAATTGTTTGTTTAAGGAAATAATATATTTGTACTTGAACATGAGGCGCTGGCCAATGGCCTCCCTTCTCTCCTCTTCTTATGTACTGCTCTGTTTTTTTTTGGATCGGATCAGAATGGATCGTTCTGTTAATTAATTAATGGCTTTCAAAGCTGACACCCAAACTGACACCCACGTCTTGGGAAAGCTTTGTCAAGCCGCCGCCTCGCTGCAATTTCTCTTGGCGAATCGCGAACCTTGATCTTGCAATGATCTAAGTTGCCGTTTTCTGATCTTTTCTCATTTCAGTTTGCACAAACGTTGCCGGGTGAAAAGTCGTCGTCGTCGGAAGGAGATAGTCTTCCCCCCAAGTTTTCATCTTCGCTCCTAACTTCCGGTCACCTCAGGATCCAGGATGTTCGCCACTCAGGACACCATTCTAAAGTTGCTGACTCTGTGCGCCCTGGCACATTCTATAACCGCCTTGGCGTTGCAGGAAAAGTCCCCGGTTAGCTCTGGATCCGGAGCTTCCTTGGACCCCAGTCACAAGTATCTGATTGTGCGGGGCGAAGGATCGCAGCAAGGATCTTCGGGTTCACAGGAGCATGTGGAGTTCGATAATGCCGCCACCCTGCTTCTGCGCGCCTACAAGAACCAGCAGGTGCCTGCTTCGAATGAGCTTGAGGAGTGCAGTGCTCCCAGCCACAAGGCCACCTTTTCCGGCTACGATTATGTGATCCTGCTGGGCATGCTGGTCATCTCTCTGGGTATTGGCATCTTCTATGGCTTCTTCCAGAAGGGTGGCAGCTCCTCCAACGAATTCCTGTTGGGCTCTGAAATGAACATCTTCCCAGTGACCCTGAGCTTGACCACCAGCTTCATTACGGCCATAGAATTGCTGGGAAATCCTTCCGAGATGTACTTCCAGGGTACCCAGTTCGTCCTCATCGTTATTCCCATGATTCTAGTCATTCCGGTGGCTGTGAAGATCTTTTATCCCATATACTTCAAGATGGAACTCACCAGTTGCTATGAGTACCTGGGCATTCGGTTTGGCAAGGAGATCCGGATTCTGGGTGCAGTACTCTATGTTATACAGGTGAGATATGAAACATCTTTATTTGGAGAAGGAGACTTTATTTATTTTGGGTGTCCTTCCAGATGTGCTTCTATACAGCGGTGGCTGTCCTGGCTCCGGCCATAGCTCTTTCCAAGGCCACCGGCCTGGACACCAAGATCGCCGTGGTCCTGATCTATGTGGTCTGCGTCTTTTACTCTTCTCAGGGAGGCATGAAGGCTGTGGTTATTGCGGATTCTTTCCAGGTGAGTTTGGAGAAAATATAGGAAATATTTAAGGAAAAGGATTACAGCTAAAGCTGTAAAGAAAGGAGGAATAATATCTTTTTCAGTTACTATTTAAATATACTGAGTTATATTAATTTGTTTTTCTTTATCCTTAAGGCTGCTGTCCTGGCTGTATCCTTGGTTTAATCGTAGGACTGGGCTGTTTCTATAGCGGCACTCCAATCCAGGTCTTTCAAACTGCGGCCAAGCACAATCGCCTGGAGTTTTTCAAGTGAGTTTTTACACTTAAAGCTAAATATTTGGATAAATTTAATAACCCCTGTTAATCCTTTAGCATGGACCCCGATCCCACGACCCGTCACACTGTCTGGTCGGTGGTTATTGGTGGTTTCTTCTACTGGACCTCTCTGTTTTGCACCAACCAAGCCTCCGTACAGAAGTGCATGTCCTTAAAGTCCTTGAAGTTAGCCAAGATAGCGCTGGGCTTTGCCATTATTGGACTAATTGCAGTCTTCCTGCTAAACTTTTACACGGGTTTGATGGTCTTTACCCATTATGCGGACTGTGATCCTTTGACGGCAGGACGCATCTCGGCCACGGATCAACTGCTGCCGTACTATGTGATCAACACCTATGAGCACATCTACTCCATCGCAGGAATCTTTGTGGCCGGCATCTTTGCCGCCAGTTTGGGGTAGGAATTTATTTATGGTTAGATTTTACAATAGATTTATAATTATTTCTTTATTATTTAATAGAACTGTGGCCTCCGCCTTGAACTCCCTGTCCGCGGTGACCTGCGAGGATCTCTTGGTCAATGGTATGAATATTAAAATCTCCCCTGAAAAGGGAGCCACCTATGTCAAGTGGATGTCCTTGGGCTTTGGCATTGCCTCCTTTGGCCTGGTCTTTATTGTGGAGCATCTTGGAGGAGTCTTACAGGCAACTCTTACCTTAAACGGTTTGATTGGCGGTGTTACTCTGGGTTTGTTTGTCTTGGGAATTGCCTGCAACAGGCCAATACCAAGGGTGCCTTCTATGGAGGATTATTGTCGCTAGTCCTGGTCATTTTTGTGGGCGTTGTGGCCCAAATCGTTAGCGTGGAACAACCTTCATTGCCCACATCCATCGATAACTGCGATTGTCATGTCAACATGACGAATATCATCGGAGATTTGCTTACGGAGCTGTGGAGATCATTGAGGAGGGAGGATTCACGTAAGTTTTTCTTCGTATTTTTTAAGGGTATATTTTTGTGACAAATCGAAATTTAAAAATACTCTAACTTGGGCAAAAAAGCACTAATTTCAATTCGGAAAACGTTTCTATGCTAGCTTTTATTACGTTAATAAATCTGCATCCTACATTTACATTTTAAAAAATTCAGATTTTTGTAATTTTTAACAATTTTAATGATGTAACCCCTTATAAAATTTTCAAAAATTGACAAAAATTTAGTTTTCACTTTTTTCCAATATTATGTAAATAATAAATTAGAATTTTAATGGCGAATTGGAATATGTATTATTTTGCAAATCTGTGGCTTTTTGGACATGTTATGCTCTCGAGAAGACCCAAATTATACGTATTCTTTAAAACCATATTTTTCGATATTTTAAAATCTTTTCAACTTTATTTCGAATACTAAATTTTACAGGTTAACTAAAATTTTTAACATATATTATATTTGAATTACAGAACCTGGCCTATCTTCCGGCTAAGCTACATGTGGTACAGCATGATGGCTGCCTGCTCACCGTCTTCCTGGGCTGGCTTATCTCACTGATAATCGACTTCATCCAAAGACGCAATGTGCTAAAGATCACGGTAACAAGGGCATCGATAATCCCGCCGTTTCCGAGGAGGTCTTTAAGAGCGATCCACAGGTGCAATATACCACCAGCAGCACTGTGACCACCACCACGGCAGTGGATATCAAAGAGACTACAAGTGGCGAGGGCCATGTGAACTACGCCATTCGCATCGACGACGAATAGAACTCGAGAGACCCCATGAGTCCTGAGAAACGAATTCACACACCTGTGTGTGCATTCCTCTTGTGTAACCTGTAACCTCTATGTACAAAGACCAGTCGCAATTCTAACTGTCCTAGCTTAGTCGAAAGAGTGATTTCTAGTTCGTAAGTACGTTCCAAATCGAGGGTGCTCACCCAGAGCAGCGATCGTTGACACAGTATTCCATATATACACAAACACACACTTACTAATGTTACTACGAAAATGAATTTATATATAGTTTGTTTTAGTTTTAAGCCATCGTAAATAAAATAAAATGCAAATACAATATCTGAACTAGATGCATTAAGAAAAGTTTGGTATGAGAAATAACTTAGTTTTTGCAAGACCTTTCTTTTTTGGTGAAAATAATAACAACGGCTTCATAGATTTTTCAAAGAAGTTTATTTCGCTTGGGAATTTAAATTCGAAAAAATATTATACACATATATTATAAATACAATAATTTCAATGCATCAATAAATTTACAATTAAAACGTATGAGTATATTTACAGGGCCTGTCCAAGATCCGAATCACGTCACGCTGATCTCCTCATCACTGTCCGAGTTGGAGTCGTCATAGTCATCGTAGTAGAGCTTCATGAAATCGGAGCTCTGCTGATGTTGCTGCTGCTGTTGTGATGTTGCTGCTGCTGTTGCTGATGTTGCTGCTGCTGCTGCTGCTGCTGTTGCTGCTGGTGATGATGATGCAGTTGCGCAGCTGCTGCTGCAGCGGCCAGTTCCACCTCCCGCATGGCACTGAAGTGTGGCGAGTGATGGAGCTGCTGCTGCAGTTGCTCGAACCGCCTCTGCTTGGCCTCCTGCAAGCTACTCTCCAGCTTGAACTTGAGATCTGCGGCCACCAGTTGCTTCTGCATCTCGGCATTGATCTTGGCCTGAAACTCTGCGGCACTGCTGGCCACGCCTGGTGGCGAGGAGGTGGCAGATGAAACCGTATTGCCAGGTGTCGCCGCCGGAGTGGGCGTGGCCGCATTGCTAGTGAGCAGCGGCGGCGGTGAACTGATCTGAATGCCATAGCCCACCGAAGGACTGCTCCGGCTACTGGCGGATTGCGGTGACTTAGGAGTAACAGCTGCCGCCGGCGGCTCCTCCTTGGCCACAGTGCCCGGCAGTGGGGCCGGTGGAGGTGTGGCACTTCCGTTTGGTGACAGTAAGGATGGGCTCAGTGGCGTCAGCGGGCGATCGCACTTGGCATCGCTCAGATCTGGATTGGGGTTATTCTTGTTGGGCAACGTCTGGTCCCGAGAACCACCGCTGGCCAGCAGTTCACGCTCCTTGGAGTTCCGCCACTTCATCCGCCGGTTCTGAAACCAAATTTTCACCTACAAATGAAAGGAAAAACCAGGTTTTAAAATGGGATTTTCAATTTCATTAAAAAGGGTAAATTAAGGAGAGGCTGTCGTCCAGCAGATGGAAAGCTGTCCGGAGCAGGTTTGGAGGATTACAAAAGGGGATGACATTGGACATACAAGCAGGGAAAATAGGTATTATATCATCAATACAATACATATTCAATACCATACATTTATATATTTAAAGTACAACACCCCCTTTCTCCAAGTCTATATAGTTTACCAACTTTTCATGGTCATTCGCATGGACTGTTGAGTGTGTGTAGTGTGTATATTTTATTCCTTCCACGTTGTCCGCTTTCGGAAACTGAACTTTTCCGTTCTAACGGCGAAAACTTTTCTGTGGCAAATTGAATCTCCGGATAAACCCACTCAGATCCAAACATTCATACCCCACACCCTTTTCATTTAGGCGATGGTCGTGTGTGTGGGCGTGGTCATGGGTCTGGGGGCAAAAGTTTGAACTGTACTGCCATCGCCAGACGCTGGCCATATCCATAATAAATGCAAATTAGAGACATTTTCCCCAAAAGCGGCTACAAATTGATTAGAGGCCGTACAGTGGAATAAAGGTATTAAATTGGATTAAACAAGACAATTTTAAAATGGTAAATAATAATAATAAAAAAATAATAATAATGAATATGGAATAAAGAATATTTTTTAGAAATATTTATCTTAGCTTTTGATTTAAGTTGTCATAAAAAATCTATATTTTAAGTGAGACCTTTTCATTTTTGCCATATTTTATTTAAAGCTATCATCTTTATTTATAAAACCCTTGTATATATTTTTCTTGAATATAATCACAATATTCTTGTTTATTTTCTCTGCACTGTGCCAGGCAAAGTTGGTCCAGCAAAAATTCTGCAAGTCTTGTTTCTCACATCCTAGAGCCAGTGCCCCTTTCCCAGACGACCTGATCTCATCCGGAGGCGGCGGTGGCGGCGACCCATTGCATTTGACAGGCGAGAGAGCAGGACGAGAGACACTTGAAGTGGATTGCAGGACTCGTCGGGCCGCATCCTTGGTCCTTCCACTCCTCATCGGTGAGTGCTGTGTTTGAGTTATTGTGCCGGGGGTTGTGTTCTATTCGCTCGTCCTGGAGCTCGTTGTTACTGCGTGCCTATGACACAGCAGGACACTCGCACTTTGTTGCAAGCCAAAACAATTTGCAACAATTTATGGGGAGAGCCCACCCAACACCCACCACTCAACACCACCCACACCCTGCTAGCAATTAGATTGTGACTTGATGTGAAATTTAAAGCAAATTGATGCGTGAAATTGGAGAGGGACCACCCCCGTCTACTGGTGATTAGATTATTTATAAATAAATAAGTAAACAACGGCAACAAAAAGCTGCTGACATGTTAAACAAGCGATTAACCGCAGAGATTTCTTGGCCGAGTATCCTTGGGAATACTCCCCTTCCCCCCTGGTGGCACGTGGCCCCCGAAAATGTTTGCGGCTTTCGGCTTTTGGTTTGCTGTTTCGCTTACTTCCGGTCATTGAGTTTTTTCAGCGTCTGTCCCTCGGAAAAGCCGCCCTCCCACCCTTCGGCAATTGAAATAATAAGCTCAGGCGGCGATAAGATTAATGATTATGGGTCCAGAAGGCCGAAAGCGGAATGGGATCTTGGACCCAGCCACCGTCGTCATAGTCATCGTCTGTTCCTGATGGAAATTAATTATAAAGCGTGCAATTTAGTATACCAAGGAGCGCGAGGCGGCGTCTGGACATTTCCGTTGCTTTGTTTAATGAGCTCGAAACTGTGATTATTGCCTACGGCGAGGAGAGCTACTCTCTCTGTCTTCTAAAAATTATATAGAACCTGTTCTAGTTAACTCAATCGGTTTTATAATTACTAACAAATAAACCAGTAACCACGTTTGGGGGAAATTATAAACTGCCATTGAGAGTCACGTTTAGTCCGGCTTGTTAACAAATATTGGCCATGTAATGAGTGTTCTCTCTCTCTACTTCCCATAAAATCACAGCGTAAACGTATAATTATTGTCTAACACATAAAATATTCGTTATCATATAATAATTAAAATTATGCAAATATTTGTATTTGCCGACACAAAAACTAAAATTCAATTGTTGTGTGTTGTAATTAGCAAGGGGGAGTAGTGGCTGTAGAGTTTTGGGGCTAATGGAGTATTAAATTGTTTTGAAATAATCAAGGATAATATTTTGCTAATAGGTTTAAGTATTTAACATTACAAAAAGATAAGTATAATGTATTTGTATCAGTTAAATATAAATTAATATCCTTCCATGTATTTATCCAATTACTTTAAGTTCACTCTATCTTCTTTATTAATCTAGTTACTTCAAGTTGACCCATCCCTTTGATAGCCCACATGTAATCACATCTCCCTCGAAATGAAGTTCTCAATCTTCGATGCTATCTCAAATTCCGGCTAAACGTTTTGCCACTTTGTTAAAGACCCCAAACCATCACAGTTTCAGGGAATATACTCCCCCATGGCAACGGCACTCGCCGTAGAGCCCACTCCATAGACAGTAAGCCAAAACGATAAGTAACATATTTTTCTGACACGCTGCCAGCATAACGCGCATAGAATTTGTTTGAAGTTTTTATAAAGCAACCCAGTAGAGTTGGGATATAATGGGCGGCAATCCTCCCTTCTGCTATATATATACTTTTTTCTTCCGAAAATTGACTTTGGGCAATGAGCACAAGCTGTTGTTTGTGGGGAGGATAGAGTCCCGTCTCGTCCTGCTCTTTCCCGACTTTTGCCAATCTCGTCCGAGGGCAACATATGTTAACTAATGAGGCTGGGCTTTAAGGGAGGAGTTCGTTCGGTCGTCTCCTTCCTGTCAACCCATTTTCGGGCCCCGCCATGTCATTCGATATGCTGCGTAATAGCGTATTAAATAGTCTGCTACTATTTGCCAAAGTCATTCCAACAGCAGTTGGCAGTGCGTTTTGGGTTACTGGCCATGGTCCATTTGGATTGGACTGCCTCCACTCTGCATCCTCTCCGACGCGGCCCGCTTTTGTGGTTATTGTTTTAGGGGGAATCTCTACGGAGTGTTTGCAAAATTTCTTTGGCTTGTGGTCGGGCGAACCATTTATTTAGCAATTTGTCAACAAATTTATTTTGTAACCAAAGCTGCAAATGATGGGTTTTAATGTTTCCCAATTGGTTTTTGCCAAAGGGGGTTGCAAATTGGCAAATTGAAATTAAATTTGAGTTTGGAACATTAAGTGTTCTTTGATTTGTGGCGTTGTAAAAGTTGAATAAGATGGATTTATAAAATGATATTTATGAAACCTACGAATTATGGCAAGCTACAGGCTTCAAGCTATTTTATGTAATAAAATATATAATTTTTATGCTTCAGCAGGGTATATAAATTTTGGGTAGCTTCGGTAGCTTGTAAAGCTATGAAGGAATCATTTCTGACCCTATTAATCATATATATTCTTGATCAGCATCAACTGCCAAACGATCTAGCCATGCCTGGTCAAAAAATAATTTATTCTAAATTTGTTCAAAATTTTATAAGGGGTTACATCATTAAAATTGCCAAAATTAGACAAAAATTGAATTTTTTAAATTCAAAAACGCAGTATGCAGATTTGTTAGCGCTTTAAAAACTAACACAGAACAGCTTTTCCAATTGAAATAAACGTATTTTTGGCCTAATTATGATGTTTGAAAACAATGATTACTTTAAAAAATTGTCTGTTTTTATACCATTTTGAGGGTTATTACAATTTTAGTAAGAATTTTTTAATAACATTAACAAACGCAGAATGCAGATTTTTGGCGCCTTAAAAACTAACACAGAACAGCTTTCCGAATTGAAATTTATACGTTTTTGGCCTAATTATGATGTTTAAAAACACTGATTATTTAAAAAAATTTCCTGTTTTTATACCTTTCTTAGGTATTAGTATTAATCAGAAGCTTATAACACAATGAAGGAATCATTTCCGACCCTATAAATCATATATATTCTTGATCAGAATGAACAGCTGAATCGATCTAGCCATGTCTTGTGGGAAAATAAATTTTTGCATTTTTTTCAAAAAAAGATAAGGGGTTACATCATTAAAATTGTCAAAATTTGGCAAAAAATTGAATTTTTTAAATTCAAAAACTGAGTATGCAGATTTGTTAATCTACTAAAAACTAGCATAGAACAGCTTTCCGAATTAAAATGAATTATTTTTTGGCTTAGTTAAGAATTTTTAAACTATGATTTTTGGGAAAATTGTCTGTTTTTATCCCCCTTTGCTGAGTTATATTATTTTAGCCATGTCCGGTCAAAATTTAAATATTGAAATTGAAAATTTAAATATTTTATAAGGGGTTACATCGTTAAAATTGTCAACCCAACTTATACACCTTATCTCTTAGATAAATAATAAATATATAATATATTTATTAGACATTTCTCTTTATCCTAGTAATCTCAGTTAACCCCTAAGTTCATAATCTTAAATCACTTTCACAGTGTTTCTCTAACTAAAACCCTCTACTCGGCCATTAAGGGGCTAACAAGGCTCATAAAAACCAAAGCAAACAATACAAAAGACCAACCCAGAGATCGAGTGTTAAAACTCTGCGGATTTCCCCCATTCAGGGATTATTATTTATTGTGCAGCTTGATTTAAAGCCAACGGCCAGCTTCTGTCAAAGAAATCAAAATCGGGGAATCGCAAACAAAATAAAAAAACAGAACGATGCAACCGTCTGCTGTGTGTGGAAAACAGACAAAAGACAAGGCAGACGAAATGGAAAATAAAAATATTTATAACGTGAAAATGCCAAAAGTGCCAGAGAGAGTGTGGGAAATGGTTGAAAATTCCACAGTTGATTGCGAAAGCGTTGGCGGGAATTTCCTTTATTCGATGTGGCGACCGAGGGCTGCCCGATTTTTTCTCCCCTCAATTTTTTCGACAAATCAAAAACAGACGAATTTGTTTTGGACATGACACTTAAAAAGTTGCCGGGCGAGAGCGAGAACCAAAGCCAGACACGTGTGTGTGTCGGGGGTGGCTTTAGCTATTGCTATTGCTTTCATAGAGCCATCCTGTTCCTAGTCGTCTATATATATATATATTGCGCGATTCCTTTGTGTATTGATTTAAAAATGCAAATCACATTTACGCCTCAAGATGTTTTCATTTCCGCCGCATGGTTATGGCAGCCGCCTCGGGCAGAGCAAGCTCTTTCTTTTCCCGGGATTCCCACTTTCCCACTTTCCCGGTTACCCGCTCTTGGAGTGTCATTAATGGCAATTAAATTTATAGCTAACGGATTATGAGGCTGGTAACTGTCAGTCGCAGTTCCCGTTGAAGAGGGCGTGACTGATGGCTGGAGTGTGCTGGTTCGGGTTTTATTTTTATTTATAGGGCATAATCGAATAATAAGGCTTTGATTTAAAAGGATTTGTTCTTTTCTTTAATTTATTCAAATGGGGAATTAGAAAACTTATTTCGCTGGGGCTTTAATTTAGACTTTAATATACTCCTCTTAATTAGACTTTAAATATACTCCTCTTAATCCCAAAACCCTTAGTTAATACTCCCTAAAACGTGACTTGCATCCGCAATTTGGAGTTAAAAAATGCACAGAAACCGCGCCCATAAATCGACTGGCAGCGAATTTTTCGAGTGCGTTTGTAAAAATCGCAATAAACGTTGCAATGAACAACACTCGAAATGATGAATCACCTGGCCAACTGGTCAACTGGCCAACTGAGAGCTGGGCATCATCAATGCAACGTTTGTCGACCGCAAGGCACGCGACACAAAATTCCCTCTGGACAATGGCCCAAAAGGCTCCCCTGCCAATGCTCTCGATACTCGAATTGCAGGCGCCAGTGCAGTGTGCGGTTATATTTATGACGCGAACTGTGCAGCAAAGTGAACAACAAGCGATCCGCAAAAAGTGCAGCAAAACGAAGGAGGCGGCAGGCAGGCTCTTAAATCATGTTGCATACTGCTAGGCGCAATGCAAGCCACTCACACTCGCACCAACACTCACTCTCGCACACATATATACCCACTCACACCCACTCAACCTGTGACACTCGAGTGTGAATATCCGCACTCGTTCATCACCCAAACTACGTACCCAAGGACCTCAATTCTGCACACCCACACTCTCTATATATATGGGGCTCGTTAATGGAGCTACCATCGCCGCCGGCTGCCCAACACTTTGGGTGTATGTGTCCCTGTCCGTGTCCGTGTCCGAGTCCCTTGTCCTTTGTCCTTTGTCCCTCAGCCCATATACTCTGTTCAGGAGCTTCCAGGGTTCCAGAGCCACCGCAAGCTGGACACCCGCTGCGATTTGATTGCGAATTTTTCTGACATTTTTGCACATTTTTTGCCACGGTCGCCAAACGAGCTTTCTTTTAGCTTCTTTTTTCAGTACTTGGTTTCCCTCTCGGTCTTTTGTTTTTCCTGAGCCTTCGACATTTTCCATTTTCACACTTTGACAAACTGCATTTGATGAATGCTTTAGAAGTTTTCCCTTCACATCCTAGAATTTATAGCTTAGCTGAGGCCAATAATCATAAAATAATAGTTGAAGTTGCAAAGGATATAACTTTGAATGGTTTTTAATGGACTTGAATGGGAGTTGCTTTTTAAACAAATCTTTATAAGTTTAAAAATAAATTCTTAAAATAATATTATATATTGCTAAACATTTTCGTAATTAGTGTAATTCGTAAGAAAGTAGTCTCTCTATTTTTCTATTTGTGACACTGACGGTATACTTCAACACTGATTTATTTTGACTAAAGTAAATACTATAAATCTCTAGTGCTTACAGCAATTAAATTAGCCTCTAGTCACGGTGTAAATAATTTACTATACATGATAAATTAAGATTCCGAGCAATTGTAGCTCAGAGATCTTACACAATTTTATCTTTAGACATCAGTTACACTTTTAGGTTTGAAATACGGTCGCTGGCATTATGTGTAGTATATATTTTTCAGACGCGGGCATTATAAGATCATTAGGCTGTAAATGATCGATCGTTCTAAATGGGTTCAAAAAAAAGGGGCGTGACTTATGCAATGAGTTGATGAATTCATGTTTCAAATGCAAACTGGACACGCTTATATTGTACAATTATGAAATTCTTATGAATCATATCCTAGAACAAAAAAAGGAGCTGGACTAATTTGGCATGACATTGTCAGTCATCAGCATCATCAGAGGGATTCGGGATTGTATACCGACCCATTCAAGGGATGACAACTGCCGGGGCCTGATTGAGTTGTGATCGATTACATTTTGACAAGACCAAATTGGCCACGCAAATATTCGCAGCCATGTGAAAATGGTCTTTTTTCACCTTTTTTTATGTTATAAGTATTGTCAGAGTTTTACAAAAATTAATTTAATTATTGCATGACTCTGAAAGGGACCTGGTCGATGCCAGTAGCTCTGCAATCAATGAAAGCTGTCTGCGTCTCAGGCGACATGAATTTCTTATGGCTCGTTATAATTTCATTATACCTCGACCTCGGGGACTTGGTGTACATATATCCGTATATATATCACGGGGATATATGTATAAGAAAGCGACTGCGCATTTCAAGGAGAGACCGCCCTCCCATTTTTTTTTTTTTGGCTTTTCTGCCATTTTCCCGTGCGCAGCCATTGCCAGAGAGCTTTCCTGGGCGGAGTTTTGTCCGCTTTTTGTTTCGGGCTTTCCTTTTCCAACGACCTCGTCGTCGTCGTCGTCCCTTTTGTTGTCTGCTTACTTATTAAAGCTGATGCGAAAAGTTCGCCAAACTGAATTTTCATAAGCGGTTTCCATATATATAATTTTATAATGGCTTCATTTCGTGCTTATTATGCTTATTGATTTTTTGTTTGTCTCGAGAGCAGATTGTTTTTGAGCTGCTTACACCAAAATTTAGGGAGTTTAGTGGATAAAGTTTAGGAATTAGGCTAATTGGGTGTTTTTTTAGGGGCATTGTGTGGAGTTATTCTCGGGCTTTAATGGGGATTTAATGGTATGTAGTCAAGTATGTAGTAGTCAAAGTCAAAGTCAGGTCAGATAATATGGTATGTAGAATTAAACAAATATACCGAAACTAACCTGAGAGTCTTTGAGACCCAGTCGCTCCGCCAGCTTTTTGCGATCCGGCTTGCTAATGTACTTTTGCTGCTGGAATCGCTTCTCCAGACCCTTCCTCTGAGAATCTGAAAGTAGCAAGAGTAACCTCTTAATCAGTACCCCCTTTCCAAGTGCCAAACTCCCCCGCATTCTACGCACCTGAGAAGACGGCACGTCGCATCATTCCACGACGAGGCTTGCCACGCGTCGAATGGGCCCAGGGAAAACCCTGGCCCGGAGGCAGGGGAAACACTTGGGCGCCAACTGCAATTGGAAAAAGGTGAGGGGGTTGAGTCCAGGGGGAGAGGGGGAGGAAATGCATTAGACCAAAACACTTGTTAATGGGCACAGCGGGAGGGCGATCTAGTCGGAAGTTGGGAATGTGTCGTCACCACATTTGGACAGCAATTAGGGAGCAGTACACTTGGAAATAAAAGCCAAGTATGACAAAGTTATGGGGCTTCTATAAGCTTTCAAGTAATAAAAATAAATTGGAATTTTTACTAAGTTAATTTAAGAACAAAATGTTCTAGTTTTTAAACGGATAGTGCTAATTTTGACAGATATTTTTCCCAAATTTGCTTTACAATTTAAATTAATTTTCTTTTAAGTATGGAAACGTCACATCTCCAACTCCAACTTAAGGGGAACTCCTCTTACCACTCATGTAGGGATTCCGGCAGTGCGCCAGCAGCGAGTGAAGGTGCGGGTGGTTAAGGGTGTGCGGCAGGAAGGGTGTGGGTCTGCTGGGCATGGGCTTGGCAATCACTGGCGGAGGAGGCGGAGGCGGCGGCGTAGGATGGCCACCACCACCTCCTCCTCCTCCTCCGGCTGATCCCAGCATCTGGTGCTGCTGCTGCTGCTGCTTGTCTTGCGTTAATCTTCGATTGGCATTGTCCTCGTCCACAGCTCCCATTTCGTGCGGTCGCCCATCCTGGCCAGAGTTGGCAGTGGGATTGGGGCCGCCGTGATTGTTGTCGCTATCACTAATTGTGCTGCCAGGTGACGACGACGAGGATGCGGTTTGCGGCTGACAACTATTGCCGGGATGCTGCTGCTGCTGCTGTTGCTGTTGCTGCTGATGCGGCGGCAGTTGATGCGTTAGAAATGCGGGATGCGGAAAGTGGGCGTGCCCCGCCCCCGGATGATGATGGTGATGCTGGTGATGATGGTGATGCGGATGCCCTGGATGTCCTGGATGTCCTGGCACTGGCAACTGTTGGTGCTGCTGCTGGTGGGGATGCTGTGGATGCTGCTGCTGCTGCTGATGGTGTTGGTGATACTGATGTGTGTGCTGCTGCATGAAGTTTTGTTGTAGATAAGGCCATATATGCTGCGGTTGCATGAATTCTGTAAAATCGGGTAGTGGCAAAGAGGAGTGGTTATATCCATTAGTGAACCATTTAGGGTAAGAGTGCCCCACTAACAGTTAGCTTTAATTGAAAGCATCCCCGAAAGTATGTTTAAGTAAATTGTTTAACCTTAACAAATACTGAGGGAAAACTAGTTTATAAAGAACAACTTATTGCTAATTGACCTCTTAAATGATTTCAATTTGTTGTTGTTTCAATTTCTTGTAGTTCCTGTGATATTATTTTGATTTGAAATTATGTCAATTAATATTCTTATCAAATTAATGTAATTCCCACTAAACCAACATTACTTTGAAGTGTCAAATTGTCAGGCTTGGAAACAATCTGCCAAAGCCTTTGTGTCGGGGGCTTTACACATTCCCAGAGCAGGAATTCAGAATCTTTGGAGCGTGTTATGTGCTGTCTTGGCAGTTTCCCAGACAGGAAACCCCCTTCCTTGACACAGACACAGGCAGACAATGGGTTGTGAAATCTGCTTTGAAGTGTCAGTGTGAAGTTGGCATAATTAAGCCAAACAACACAAGCGCCAGGATAAAGGACTCGACGCACACTCGCACCTTGAGAGCCAAGTTTTGGCGCCTTTGAAACGCAGGCAGCCGGATGTGTGCACATATATATATATATATATATATATATGTATCAAGGATATCAGGATAATGGGGGTAGCTCCATTTGGCTGCATTTCATTTTCTAATTAAACACCCCCAAAAAAGGCAGCCATTGCCAGTCCCCATCTTGTATATTCCTTTCTCTCTCTCCTGACATCCTGACAGGCGCTGCAGGATATTCGGGATATGATTTTAATTCGATTAGAGAACCGAAACAATTAACGTATTAACGCCTCTTTAGTTTCGGCAGTTTTGTATGTGCGCGTTGACTCCTGTGGCCAACGGCGGTGGCTCCCCCGAAAATTTCCATTTATATATGGATACCCGATGCCGGATCCTGGATCCTTGTGTGTATGTGTTTGCGAATGATGTGGCACATGTGCGCCTAATGAGCGCACAAATTAAGTTATAATTGTTCGCCTTTGTTTGTTTTGTTTGTCGCGCGGTTTTCCAACTGTTTTCTGTATCTGCATCTGTGTCGTTGGCAACTTTTGGCCCCTTTTTGGTTTATGGCCCCTGCAAAAAGTTCATTTTGTGGTTGGCTTACTTCTAAGCAAAAAGCAATTTCCGTTTTAGCTGTGCAAAATTCCCCAAGTGGATCATTGATTGGGATACGATGGCAATTAGTTTGAAAGTTCGGGAGAAAAGCCTTTATACCTTTTTTGGAGAGTATAATTTCAGTTAGAAGAGTGAAACTCAGGGAAGGAATCATTTTCGACCCTATAAATCATATATATTCTTGATCAGAATGAACAGGCCAATTTATCTAGGCATGTCTAGAAGAAAAATAAAATGTACCAAATTTTGTTAAAATTTGAAAATTTGATAAGGGGTTACATCGTTCTTTTTTCCAAAAATCAACAAAAAATTTAATCATTTAAATTTGAAAACTGAGTATGCAGATTTGTCAATCTAGTAAGAACTAGCATAGAACTGCTTTCCAAATTAAAATGAATGATTTATTGGCTTAGTTATGAGTTTTTTAAGCTATGATTTTTTGACAAAAATTGTCTGTTTTTATACTCCTTTGCTGGGTTTTATTATTTTAGTTAGAAACTTATAATTGCATCAACAAACGCAGTATGCAGTTTTGTTAGTGCTTTAAAAACTCGCACAGAAAAGTTTTCCGAATAAAAATTAATGCGATTTCGGCCTAATTATGATGTTTGGAAAACAATGATTTTTCAATGCAATTGTCTGTTTTTATACCTTTTGCAGAGTTTAACTTTAGTGATAAGATTGAAACACATTGAAGGAATCATTTCCGACCCTATAAATAATATATATTCTTGATCAGAATCAACTGGCGAATCTATCTAGCCATGTCTAGAAAAATTTTTTTTTTAATTTTGAATTTGAAAATTTTATAAGGGGTTACATCGTTAAAATTTTCAAAATTTGACAAAAAATTTAATTTTTTTATTTGCAAACTAAGATTTATTAATATGATCAAAACTAAAGCAGTAAAGCTTTCCATATTAAAATTAAAGCGTTTTTAGCTGAGTTATATTGATTTCAAATTTGGTTCCTTTAAATTTGTCTCTGGCTTTTCGAAATTAGTTTCCTTTCTTGTTAGGATAGTAAATAGTTATAGAAAAACGGAAATATTTTATGCAAAATATGTGACAGTAACAGGGGGAAATTAGCAAGGTTTCATATTATATGTAAAATAAGTTACATATATATTAAATATAATTAATCTATCAAAAAAGGGACTTAAAATGGTAACAAATTATAATTAAGCATCAAGAAACGAAGCTCTTTTTAAAAGCAGACTATATTTAGATCTGTGTTTCGTATATGTCTTATTATGTATTTATATTCTCGCCAATTCCTCCATTATTCTATAAAATGAACCTTATATCATTTAAATAAGCACTGCAATTTCGTTTCTAGTCATAAATTCCTAAGTTCTATCAACCAATTTTGCCACGCTTTGTCCATAAAAAATTATAGCCGTTTCTGCATTGATTTAACCCCAAAATATTGCCAATAAAACCTCATAAAAAATAGCCATAAAATATAGTAAATCAGAATGCCCGGCCCACTCATTAATATGAAAAAACTAAGCCGCGTTCCGATAATCACATGACAATTAAAATCCCACAATCCCGATACTAGCCGCCTCGAACAAAGCAAAGGACTTCATTCAAATGCTAAAAAAAGAAGGCCAAGGCAAAGCTGTTACATTGACTGATGGCCAATTGGTTCCGCCTTCTTTTTTGTGTCCCACACACACCCCAGAGAGGAAGCCGCACACTGCTCATCCTCAGACTCAGCCTCATCCTCATCCCCATTCTCATCCCTTGTTATAGCACGCGGCCGAGGATCGCATCGGATCGCATTGGATCGGCGGTTATATCTATTCGAATCCTTGCGAAGTCCGAACTGGTTATGCGGCTTTGTTGCTTACGGGGCTCAGCTCAATAATTTAAACATGATTAGGTCTGGTTGTGTTTTTACAGCCTGCGAGGCTCAGCGGAGCAACGCCCCGAGGGCTTAGGCCACAGACAATAAAATCACGGCGTAAAAACCGAAGGCAATAAACTACGTACTGAAAATTTTGAAACTTTTCCGTCAGATTGTTATTCTTTTGGCTTTTCATATTGCAATTGTATGTTTTGTTTATGTTCGGCATTAGCCACGGCAAATTAATTGCCAAGCCTTTTTAATTGTATTCTTTTGAGAGCAGCCTAGGCAAAGAACCTAATTGGAGGAAACTTTATCTCGGGGAATAATAATCCTTGGTTGTCACTTAAGAACTAGAATAGGGTTAAGATATGCAAACTAAAATATTCAGAACAAAAGATACTTTTATCTATTGATAAATTCAATAATAGTAATAAATATTCTCTCTTACCAAAATATTAAATTTTTATAAGTTAAAAGGTAAGCTTACTTTAGGAAACCTAAATATGAATCGTTATCCACATTACCCAAAAATCGTAACACTTACCATTCCTGACCCGGACACCTTCACGGGTATCCCCCAGAATCGCACTGACACTGAACTTAAGTATGGGCTTGCTATTGCTATCCTTGAGAATGGTTGTGCCCACCGCCGGGCTGCTCGGATCCTTGGGCTCCACCTTGGGCAATTTGATTGCCGCGGGCTCGTCCACCTCGGCCAGCTCGTCCTCCAGCTCCAGCTCTTCGTCTAGATCCATGTGGGGCTCCTCATCGCCGACGCTGCCTATGTCGGCTACGATTTCATCTGCGGATGAGTCCTCATCCTCGTCCATCTCCTCGATGCTATCAACACTCTCGGCCCGGACTTCGCGGCACTTATCACACTTGTAGCCGCGCTTCGAGCAGCTGCAGCCCTATTCGGACGCTCCTCGACACAGGAGGCGGAGGAGGTCTCCGTTGGATCCGCGGGATCCCTTTCCCGTTCACGTTCCCGACGCGACAGGAGCATCTCGCTCAGGCTGGACTTTAGCTGGCTCTCCGTGAAGGTCTGCTGGGCGTGCAGGAGACTGTCCACGAGGAAGGCCGTAGACATAACGTATTTGCCGTATTTTTGCCGAACTTTCTATATTTTCCGTAGCGTATTTCTTGCCAGGATATTCCGGATTGCCCGCCGTTCGCGTCGAGTGCTCAATTCGAACTGAACGGGCCTTGGTTTATTATCCTGGCAGGCGCAGGTCGCAGGACGCAGCATCCCGCGGCCCAGGATATCTGCTATCGGGGGTTGCTCTTCGGTGGTTGGTCCGTTTCTCCTGCCCAGTAGCCTTCGTTTATGTGGCGGCACGTGATTTTCGTCCTTATATATAGGACTCTCTCGCTCTGGCCCTTGCTTTGGCTCTCTCTCTTTCCCTGTTGTCGTACGAGTGTCCTGTTTAGCCTTTGCCTGCTACCCATTGTTGTTCGCTTTTTATTTGATTTTATTTGTGTGAAAACAATAAAAATTTAATTTTCTTGTTTTGTTGCCGTTGCCTTTGCCACTCGCTGCCTTGAACTGTGTGCGCACATCGCAAATATCCTTATGTTCTTATTAGATTTCGCCTGCTATATTCCACAGTGTGGCACAGTGGGACAGAAACTAAGGATTTATAATTAATTAATTATTATTAATTATATATTTAATAAATAAACATATTATACAGATAAATAAGTTTACGTCTATATTCTTAATCAGGGGTTTCTACTTAGGGATTTCATATATAAACATGAACCTAAAGAATTATTTATATTTAACAAACCTGAATATACAAAGTGAATTTTAAATGTTATTAAATATATACTTTTACTACTGTCGTTTCAAAATTATAGAACAAACTAGAAAGATAACAAACTTCGGGAAGTTGAAGTTTATATACTCTTTTCAAATAAGTTATATGATCGAAAAACCAATCATACCCAAACTTTAAATATACGCATTTTTGAATAGATTTTTATATATTTTGTATGATATATTTTTCGACAATCAAAGAATAAAAAACTCATAACTAAGTCAAAAAAGCATTAATCTTAATTCAGAAAGCTGTTCTATGTTAGTTTTCAACAGGTTAATAAATCTGCATTTTTAAAATAATAAATATTTTTAAAACGTAAACCTCTTTTATAGCAGTGTACATAAATTAGCATCATATATTTTAATAGAAAAACTTGATTATACAAAATTCATGGAAATGTGTGCACCATAATTTGAACTGGACGCCAACTCGCCACCACCCACCCATCAACTTTTGAATTTGTCCGCGCAATTTGTTGCAGGCACCAACGGAACGTAGAAAGGCAGAAAAAATGAAAAAATTAGAAGAAATAGGAAAATCCTGAGGCAAAGAGCCAAGGAGTCAGTAGATTAACTTTTATTATGACCGCAAATTAGTTGTCCTCGTCGCCGTTGATGACGACAATCGAGTTTATCGACAATGATGACTTATTTACTCTTGGGGGTCGGAAGCCAAGTAAATGCGAAAATGGCTGAGCAGCGCGGTTATGTAAGCTTAGCAGTACCCCCATCTAGGAGCTAGGATGTGTATGTCCTTTTGGCCTCTATTGTGCCAGGACTACAACACGCACACATAGAGACAGTGCGAGAGCGAGAGCGAAGAGCAACCCTTGTGGCTTGGGAGGGCGTGGCCTCACTCGAATTGGAAAGCCATCATCAGGATCTGAAAGGAGCAGAAGTGCTCTCCACAAAGGGAAGAAGTGCGAGCACAAGGATAACAAAAGCTCGTCGTTCTGGTCGTTGCCTCTCCCCCTCCGTCTCCAATTGCGATTGTTTTGCGCTGCCATTTGTGGCTTTTTGCTTTCATATGAAGCACGCCTCAAAGGATTACCCCGGGATCTACCAACCCTCTGCCAACCCCTCGCCGAAGGATTCCGTGCTTCTTCTGCTGGCAGCGAGTACATAAAACATGCTCATATAAGCGTATAAATATGTGATAATAATGATTAAAAGTTCTCATCATGCCATCATCATTTATGCAAAGGATTCCGCTTTCACTGTGTGCCTGTGTCTGTGTGCTCTGAAGAGTCCTTACATTTTTATTTGGCACCGACACATGGCTTAAGCTGCTGAGTATTTTCCATTTTCCGCAATTTCTTTGCGGGGGAATGGGGGTCTTGCTTTGTCGCCAGCTAAATGGGGAAAATGGAAAATGAAAAATAGAAAATGGGGAAATGGCTCTCTGCATTCCGAGTCGCTATCTCCATCTCTTTTTGTAGTTGCCATAATATGAGGACAATTATTTGATAAGTGGGTTGAATGTGCACCAGTTTTTCGCCCCCGATTTCCCCCGTCAGCATTTCCCAGCTTCCGTTCTTGGTTCCATCTGCCATTGTCATGGCGCTGCTTTTGACAAATGAAAGGGGTCACCAAAACAGGCTTTTGTTGGGAAACCCCCATCATATATATGTATATAGACAAATATATATTTATATATATATATTATGCCCAGTTTGGAGCGAGCAAACGGGTAGGTGTTGAAGACAAACTTTTAATTGTTTTTCACAGAGTGTTGCCATGGTCTGAGTTTATATTTTTCGTTTCGTTTTTATTTTTTTAATTTGTTTGCCGAATTGGAAATATGTAAATGATGTTGTTTGGCTCTGCATGTTGGTAGATTATTGCTGTTAACGTTTGGCTTTTTGCCTGGGCTTTGTGGGTCCTTTTCTCTTTCAGCTTGAGGAGCTTGACATGGTAGATAATGGCTGTGTGTTTTGGAGAATAACATCAAAATGGATTGACAAAAATCTGAGAAAAAACCTTTGAGGTCCAGAGATCAAAGTCCATGTGAAGTGATCATTGTACTTTGATAGAGGGTTTTAATGACAATTACATTTGTATATTTAGGTATTGGTCTTATGTTAAGGGGGACAGAAATACTTATGATCTTTCCAGATGAGTTATAAGTATGTATTGAACAAGAAAGATATCTGCCAGCATATATCATCTTCTTGTATCAAAATTAAATCAATATAATCTCCCTTTACAAAGAGTTATATTCAATCTACAAATTTCTTTTAAGGATTTATTATTGATCTCTCTTCACAAACAGATGATGCCTTACTTATGATATTACCAAGGCTTGTTATTCCTTCCTTTCAATTTGGAAATCAAAGGCCAAAGCTCATGAGCCATGACAAGTTCCAGCTAACTTCCTTTTGGAATCCAGTTGTGCACCGGAATACCCTTGCAGGTAAATTCAGTTGGCCAAAAATTCAAAGAGTGCCACATGCCAGATGCCACTCCAGCTCCAAGCTCGAGTAAACAACTTCATGGGGAAGAATGTATATGTGTGGAATCGAATGCCGTTGACAGCCGCATCATTATATGGATATCATTATCGTGTATCGTCGTCTGCAGGGCCCAGAAAAGAGAGAAAAAAAATAAGGTAAAATGTCACAAGATGCTGCAAGATGGGCGGGGATAAATGCGTGGTTGAGTGGATTCGTGGGTGGCTCTATAGCTGGCTGGCTGACTGGCTCGGTGGCAATATAATAAAGCGCAAACATTTATACACGACACTCGATGCGAAGGACGGCGATATAGAAAAAGCATTCCGGCCAAGTTAACTGTCGATATCAGCTGCTGCCACCGCCCACTTTTGCTGGCGCACTCGCAGCCATGAAATGAATGCGAATTCTGTTTGCCATCGATTTTCAGGACAACGTTTATTATTTTTATTATATTCGCCGGGCAGCTAGAATGGGGGAACTGAGCAACTCTCTGTGATGGGGTGGCTGGGAAATTATGGGCTTTTCATAACGTTAACAGTCGCATAAATACGCTCTTTGTGTCAGCCAAGTAGAAAAAATGCGATAAAAGATTATAAAGTGTGTGTGTTGTCGTTGGCTTTGGGCTTGGGCTTGGGCTTGGCTTTTGCTGCCCAGTGGGTGGGTTTTTGCCCGGGGATCGGAGTTCGTACTCGTTCCCGGCACTGGGCGGCGACATCTGTTTCCGACATCTTTTAATAAAATTTTCATCTTTATTACAAAACGATTGTTTTATGCGCTGGCTTCTCCTCCCATGGTCCTTTTCGTGAAGTTTAACTTGAACTTGGACTAGGCGACGGAAGTCCTTCAGCGAAGTCGCGAAGGAAGTAATTAGAATGAAGCGATTTTTAGTTGCCAAGTTTTTTGATACTCTCGTTTTTACGCCCTTATAAGTATTAGGTAATATAAGTTTAGTCAGAAGCTTGAAAAACTGTGAAGGAATTATTTCAGACCCTATAAACCATATATATTCTTGATCAGAATCAACTGCCGAATCAATCTAGGAATGTCCAGTCAAAATATAAATTTTTAAAATTGTTAAAATTGTCCAAATTTGGCAGATTGGAAATTAATGCATTTTTAGCTTAATTATGACCAATTTTCACTGTCAAGGGTATAGAAATTTCGGATTCCCGAAATTAGATTCCTTTTTGTTTATTTTTATTTTTATTGGGCGGAAAGTTTTCATTGCGAAATGAACTGAAGTTCAGTTTATGAAAATATTTTGCATTTCATTCATTTTATTACTTTATTTCACTTAATTTGATTGGACTACTCTTCTTTTTTTTTGCCCCATCCGTGATTGTATGGATATAATTGCCAACTTTATTGGTTAATTTATGAAATTTACACATTTAATGGTTGTTATTATCGTGTGTGTTTTGTGTGTGCGGTTGGTTGGTAGTTGCGGTTTTGCGGCGGCTCGTGCATATTTATTTGTGTTTGAACAAAGCGGTCAGAGAGTGTCTCGTTGACTCGTGGTGAAGTGGTTGTTAAAAGCGGCCAGTTAGGTCTATAATGGAGAATTCGTGAAAAAGGCCTAATTAGTATAGATTTATCAAATTAATGATTTCTTTAGAGCTAATTAAAATTAAATAAAAACTAATAATAATATAATGATTTTCATAAAAATTTTCAGGTCGTTCATATGGCAGCTATATATATGTATATATATAGTCCACCGATTCGCCATGCTCCGACTTATATACTAGTAAAATTATATAGAAGAATAACTCAAAAGGTTTATTCCAATAGCTTAAATTTGTTCCAAAACACATC